CGAGCGCCGCTGCAGCATGTGGGACAGCGCTTGCTTGGTGTTGGTGGGGACAAAGGAGCCGGCGGGGTCCAGTCGGGAGCCACCTGCAAAAGCAAGAAGGAAGGGCTTTCTCCACGTGGTGCAGAGGGACGACCTCGTTGCATCGAGACGCCGGAACCGCACCCGCTGAGCCCCGCTTTGCGAAGCCAGGCGGGAACGCAGGGCCGCCCCGCGCCCCGCGAGAACTGCGTGATGGGCACGGGGAGGGTGCGCGCAGTGAGTGGCACCCGAGTGCCCCCTTGGGGGGCCCCTGACCCGTAAAGGGACATGCCCTCCACAGGCTGCACACCGTGGGGTGGCGTGGGTGTTAAATCACGGAGCCCTCGGGAAGGTCACTCGAGAGAAAAGCACGGCCTTCCTGGTGTGTGCGGCCAAGCGCCCTGAGCCAGGCCGCCAACACCTTTTGTCTTTTGAAACAAATTGGAAGCTTGTGGTGTTTCAGCTCCTTGACCACGAAAAAATGAAAATGCCTATCCCACAGCAGTAAGCAGAGGTGTGGAAGTTCTTTAAAAACTGTAATTGTGCCCGGCGGTGTGGCTCCGTGGTTTAGGGTCAACCTACGCACCATGAGGTCGCCGGTTCGATTCCCGGTCAGGGCACATGCCCAGGTTGTGGGCCCGATCCCCAGTGGAGGGTGTGCAGGAGGCGGCCAATCAATGTTCTCTCTCATCCATGTTTCTATCTCCCTTCCTCTCTCTCTAAAACCAATAAAGGAAAAAAAAGTAAAAAACAAAACCCAAAAAACCTTGAATTGCTTGGAAACTTCAAATGCCTTGATTCTAAAGCAAAAACATCTTTTCTGAAGGTGAGAAATAAAGCAAACAAGAAACAGCGGTTATAGTGAGGCTTGAGAGACCAAGCGAATCCCGTCACCTTTTGCACACGGGATTTGGCAAACGCCGGTCAGCGTTCAGGGGGGACATCCGACGACCGCTGACTTCAAAGTGGCGGCCGAGCCTGTGTTCGCAAGTCTGCATTCTTTCAAGTAAGTGGGTAAGAAAACCTCCATCAAAGCACCTCACGAAAGATGACTTATCTTTTCTTTAGAGCAAGTTTGAGGATGAAACATTTGAAAGCTGTTGACCGAAAAACCCGCGTTCTCCTCAACGCCCCGTACGGCCATCAGCAGTGTGAGCTACGGGGTCACTCAGCAGCATGCGCAGGTCACTGGGGAAAAGGACCGTCTACGGGAGTAACACATGGCAAGGCCACCTGCTGATGCCAGAGCCAGAACACACAGAAACTTACTGGGCTCGTTTTACAGACAGGGGGCATCCTTGTGAAACGTTAGGCTATGGTCCACTCTCTCTTGATTTTCCTAACTTTTCCATAATCATGTATGTCTGAATCAGCTAAGAAAGTGATATATAATAAATATGGTCAAAGCCTCAGTGTATATACCTGCTCACTTTCTTCCCTTCTCCCGTCAAATGCTGCTGTGAAGTTGATGTTTACTGTGCATACACCCTGCCTTGTAAATTTACCACATGCGTGTGCATACATGAGACTGGTAAAGGGTGTGTGTGTGTATGTGTGTGTGTGTGTGTGTGTGTAGAGACACTGTGTTGTGTTCAATATATAGCATAGAAAAGCCTCATAAATAGCTCTTTTCTTCACTTCTTTCTCTTCTATGTCATCACACCTAACACTACCTAACACCCAAGTTCACCTCTTCCTGCACCGGGGGCGAAGGGCAACAGCCCGATTCACACGCAGCCCTTGTCCTGGGCTGTTACCAACCACACTGGCAGTGCCACAAAGTCCACGAGGACCTTGGAACCAGAGCGAGTCGAGAGGACAATCGTGCATGATTTCCCACACCTATCGTGAGTCTGGTGGTTCCCGAGTCTGCAGGGGTTCCCTCGGCAAACGCCTCCCGGAGCCTCCGTCCACGCGCTGTGAGTCTGGGGACACTGCCCTAACATGACCGGACAGCGTGGTCAGAGCCAGCCCACCGAGAAAGGGGGTCTGACCACACCCAAAGGAGGGGTGCGCCCAGAGGGAGCCCCCTGAGACAGGGGCCAGCAGGTGCCAGAGCCCTGCGGGGAGAAGGTGCTCAGGTCATGACCCCACACGTCTGCTGAGTCAGGCTGACCCTAAACCACCCCGGGGAGGCGTATGCCCGCATGTCCGTTACACTGATGACCAAGCCGCGGAGAGGTCAGAAGGAAGAGCTGAGGCGTGGCCGAGAGGACACAGCAGGACAGTGGCACAGCCAGACTGTGACCGAGAACTGAGCCCCGACCAGCTCTCATTTGCAGGACAGAACGTGGGCCCTCCAGGGCTCAGCCAATAATCAGCATCTCTTCCCTGGGCCTCAAAATGTCAGGCTCGACTTACAATTAAAAAAAAAAAAATCACTGTATCACAGCAGAAAATCAATGAAAATGGTGTATGTTAGAATGATAGGCCCTGACAAGATGCAGACCGGAGATCTCAAAAGTAATCTATTTTGCGAACACGGGCAAAGTTTCTTTGAGAAAGATAATTAAGTCCTTTCCTAAGGAAGGGTTTTGGTCATTTGGAAAGTCTTCGTTCCGGGTGCCAAATCGACCTGAGCTGGAACCGGAAAACCCCAAACTCAGGGCCATTTACTCCAGGAGCGGTCGTTCCCTTACTGAAATGTCATCACCTTGCTGAGCCAGAGTTTTGAGGTCCGTGGTGCAACAATGCAAAGTTCAAAACATAATAAAATAATAAGAGACCCTGCACTACTGTCCAATCCTCAAAGATGCCAGTAAGAACAATACCGATAACAATGTGCCACATTTCACAACATCCGCTTTGTATCTCCTGGCGTAAGATTTTCACCAGCGGCTAGTCTCCTTCCAGCCCTGGACGAAAACCCCCAAACCCCACCGAGATTCATCACGGAAACCTTATTCCAGAAGAAGAACAAGCATGTTGGGCGGAGAGAAATCCAGGAAGGTCGGCTGAGCGCTCAGCTCCTGGAGCTTCCGAGCGTCCTGGGGTCGCGGGGGTTTCGGGTTCGAAAGGCGGGGAGGCTCCCAGGGCCGGTGCCAAGCGCCTGCCATCCCGGCGACCCGCCGCGCTCCCTGCACCTACCTGGAGCGAGAGTCTGGTTCTGAAGGAAGAAGCCGGGCTGCTGGGGCTGGCCCACGAGGTTGTAGCCCCACACGGCGGACGGCGGGTGGTGCACCATCTGGGCGGAGACGGGCGGGTAGTTGGGAGGCACTCGGTACAGGCTGCTCTGTGGATACTCCTTCAACGTAAAGTTAAAACGAAGTTACTGAACTCCGCACAGCACACAGAACGAATGCAAATTCTTCCCATCACGTTATCTGAGATAACTCCCGTCCCCTGTAGAGGGGGCTATTTTTACAGTGCAGGACACGGGGGGCAGAGTATCGGTATATTCTCCGCCACACACTCGTGCAAGTCAAAACGTCGCTGACTTAGAAGGTACCTGGCCAGTGGAGGGGGAGAGGGAGACACCCACCTCGTCCAAACTTCGTTTTGAAACACTAAAAGCGCATTCACCTGTTGATACTGACCACCAACCACAGCTGAGACCTTGCACTGTGACGTTCAAAGGTCTCTAGTTGCAAAGCCTCCCCACCGTGTCCTCTCGGAAGGCCTGGGTGCCGCCTGGGGTCGGGGTCAGATGGCGCCGAAGGCCCGCAGTACAGCAGAACCAGTCCCGGGCCTAGACGGGCTCACTTCCACTTTGATGGCAGCAGGAGCCCCCTCCTGCAGACACAACCGTCCCCACACCCCGCACCTCCTGCTCAGGGCTTCCTCTTCCTACAGCAGCTAAGGCTCCAAGGAGCACAACTGAAGGCTTCAATGCCCTCGCCATCCCTAAAGGATGAAAGGAAAATAAAATCGCAGAAAAGCAAACCCCGCACTACGTCCTGTCAGGAAGACGGGCCTCCTGGAGCAGTGTGGGGGGAGACGTGACCGAGACGCACTTGGGGAATGAGGTGAGTTTCAGGTCTTTTGCATCTGAAAAGAGCAGAAATCGTGGCTGTGGCTGGACAGGCCAGGAGACCCAGATTTCAGGGAGTGGCAGTCGGACCTTATTAAAATTTCCGGACTCAAAACAAAGAGCCGGGGGGAGAAGACCACATGAAAAGGGGGCCCAGGCATCCAAGCGGCGGTGGTCGGGTCTGGAGCGACATTGCTCGCCAACCATCAGACAGAAAGGACGTGTTGGCTTCAACGCAGGTGAACAAGAATGTTGAATAATCATGATGTCTGAACACAACACTGTGAATGTGTTTCCCAGGGCACAGCAAGGACACCCTTGGGTGTCATAGGAAAATGTCTCAAATTGCCTCGCAGATATTTTCCAGGTTAGGTTAAATGGGAAGGTATTTTATACATTGATTCTATCATTTTAAAAATGTTTTGTATTGATTTTTTAGAGAGAGGGGAAGGAAGAGAGAGAATCATCGATGTGAGAGAGAAACATGGATCGGCCGCTCCTGCACGCCCCCTACTGGGGATGGAGCCCACGACCCAGGCATGTGCCCTGACCAGGAATCAAACCAGGACCTCTCAGTCCACGGGATAGCGCTCAGTCCACACTCGCCGGGCTATAAAATTATTTTAAATAATCATCTCGTAGATCCATTGCTTTCACGAAAGTACTGCTCTTAGTCTGAAAATGTGACGGAGGACAACACCCAGGAGAGGAGGGTGCAGTGGTGTAATACGGAATCTCAGAAACACCCCGACCAGTATGTCCGATGGGGATTATCCAGGGAAAGGCAAACAGGGTACGGGCTGTTTTCATTTAATATACTATGGGTACCAACTGCCCAGAACACAGTAACTACTTAGACACAGCTTGAGACAAAAGCATGCGAGAGGTTGCGATTGCGGAGGTTGGAAAGACTCAGTTTCAACGTCGAGCAGTGACGAGGCCCGGAAATAGTGAACAGTGTTCCCAAGGGAAGGCTAGAGTTAAGCAGTTACGAAAAGTAGAGGAAGAAAAATCAAAAGCTATCGCCCTGGCTCCGTTCATAAGGACAGTGCCTCGGCGGGATAATTCTCCCAAAACGGCTTCTCAAGCTGTTCGCAATGCTACTGGGCACGCCACTGGGGATGCTGGGCACACCACTGGGCTGCGGACACACCACCGGGGCTGTGGGTACACCACGGGGCTGCGGACACGCCACCGGGGCTGTGGGTACACCACGGGGCTGCGGGCACACCACGGGGCTGCGGACACGCCACCGGGGCTGTGGGTACACCACGGGGCTGCGGACACGCCACCGGGGCTGTGGGTACACCACGGGGCTGCGGGCACACCACCGGGACTGTGAGCACACCATGGGGCTGCGGACATGCCACCGGGGCTGTGGGTACACCACGGGGCTGCGGACACGCCACCGGGGCTGTGGGTACACCACGGGGCTGCGGGCACACCACGGGGCTGCGGACACACCACCGGGGCTGTGGGTACACCACGGGGCTGCGGGCACACCACCGGGACTGTGAGCACACCATGGGGCTGCGGACATGCCACTGGGCTGTGGGCACGCCACTGGGCTGTGGGTATACCCCGGGGCTGCGGACACACCACCGGGGCTGCGGACACACCACGGGGCTGCGGACACGCCACCAGGGCTGCGGGCACACCACTGGGGCTGTGAACACACCACAGGGCTATGGGCACACCACTGGGCTGTGGGTACACCACGGGGTTGCGGACACACCACCGGGGCTGCGGACACACCACCGGGCGCCAGGACACCAGCAGATGCTCCTGAGCCCAGGGGCCTCTACTTCGTACACTTACGTCGAGCCTGGAGCTTGACTTTGTCTTACGCTTCCTTCCCTTTGTTTTCTTCTCTTCGTCAGCTGTGGTTTTCCCCTGATCCGACAGCTCAGCTGACTTCCTCTCTGGCTCCTGAGAAATGGGGGACGCGGGCTCCTCCTCCTCCTCAGGGAGCAGGGGCAGCGGCTCGAGGTAGTAGCTCCGGGGCTTGGGCACGGGGTGCGTGTGATACAGGAGGAGGCTGTTCTGCTCCTCGTACTTGATGGCCTTCCGGTCCATCCGCACCGTCCCGAACCAGGCCCAGGACAGGGGAGCGGGGTTCTTCTGGCCCTCAAACAGATCCCACGGGGACACCTTCTGCTTCGTGGAGACCTGGAGACCCTGCGGGGCGAGAACACTCTGTGACCACACGCTCAGATCTTATCCCGGTAGGACAGGGACTCAGGGAACATTCTGGCCGGTGCGGGCCTTGCAGGGAACGGAGCATGGAGCAGACAGGCTAACTCCCGAGTCCAGGGTCACCCAGATCAGCGCGGGGCGGTGGCTGGAACCCACGGCTCAAACTCAGTTCTGCGGCTCTGTGTGCCTCTGTTCGGGCCGGAACACCAGACAGTCCAACGTATTTTACTGCCAAATGGCATTTTTCTTTTCATTTCGTTTTCCCTTGTCAGCAAAAGATAATTTCTAGGAAACGCTGCACAGCTGATCTTACTGTCAGCCTCATGGGCTGAGGTGAACTTCAACCCAATGGTGTACGGACTTGATTCACTACAGGTGCCTTTCGCGTGCTTAGTAAGCCGGTCTCTGAACAGCGAGGTCATATTGTCACAGAATGAACCTGTACCAACAGGGAGAAATACAGTCCTTCGAGGCCGGCTTATCGCCACGAAATTCAGAGGAGGAAATGCTATTCTGTTTCTGAAAACAAGAAGTTTGTGTTCAACATTCATTGCTGATGTCACTCGGTACTTTCCCTAGTGAAGCAATTTGAAAATCCTTTTGATCACCGTGACCCCGCAAATAGCGACCCGGGCACCCCAGAAGACGGGAGTGCCCCTGTGCTGCGCCCACACCCTTCTGTGAGGGTTGCCCCCGGACCCAGTGAGTGCCACCTGCCCTGGCTGCTTCCTCATGTGTCCTGAGGTCTGACTTCCCTCCTTGGGGCCAGACAGCTCCGAATGGTTTGTCAACGTCTCCGCACTAGAGGGCCCACCAGCCCTGCAAACCCACCGGCCCGAGATCCTAGCTTTCCTCTCCACCAACGCACCAGGATGCTTCGCGCTGAAGGCACCGGCATTTCTGCAGCCTGTCTCCTCTGAGCCAGTTTTTCCTGTCTGCACGAATTCTCCCCTTTGCCCGTCTCCTACCTCCCAGCTAACGCTTCACACTTGCAGAATGATTCAAGTGTCCATTTTCCTGGGGCTACCGCTCCAACGAGCCAGTTCTCAGCCGAGGGTGATGCTCCTCAGGGTCCCCTCACACTCGGCACCGTGACACACAAACCCCACCGCAGTGTTCGTGTCTCTGTTTCCAGGGGGCAGGAGCTCTGTCTTTCATCTGGGATTTTGGAAACCTGGCTGTTCGTGTTCATTGAAACAACCATGGACCCCTCTTCTTGGGCCAAGAAAACTTGGCTTAATATCTTATGTGAAACCAAGTGTTCATTAAATACTATTTAACTGATAGAAAAATAAAGCACCTTCACTTTAAACATTTCTCATTCGAAATAGTTTACGACGGAGAAACTTGTATCAATGAAAAATGTTCCCATCCAAACATTGTTTCCGATTTAGAAGTCAAATCAGAACTGACCTTTGCAATTTTTTTTTCCCACCCGAAGCTTTTCAGTTTTCTATTGTACAATTGAGGAAATTCACTTAAATGCAAGTACAGTTCTATAATTTTTTTTTTTTTGAGAGAGAGGAAGGGAGAGGGAGAGAGAAAGAAACATCGATGAGCGAGAACATGCCCCCCGCTGGGGATCGGGGCCCACAACCTGGGCATGTGTCCGTGTTTTATAGGCTTTGCAGGAAGAGAAGATCTATTTTGTTTTCCTAAGTGTACAGAGTGATATTAGGGGTGTGGGTGTGTGTGTGTGTGTGTGCACACAAACATTTACTCTTGCCTGTTTTTTATCTATGGAGTCGAATCCTGCAATCTTGTTGCCCTTGGTGTCGATCAAGGAGCCCATAGGCTCACAGGTGATGACGTCGCAGGTCTGCTTTGGCAAAGGCAGCAGCTGCCGCACCTTGTCGATGCTCTCGGACCGCTTGTCTCCGAGCTCTTTCTGCAGAAACAAACACCGGAGGCAGAGCGAGAAAGGGAAGTTACAATGAAGGCCAAAGTCAGCAGCAGGAAGTCCCTTCTGAGACGTTTCCCTTGCTAAGGCTGGAATGTTCCTGCCGCGGGAACATGGTCTACGGGGCAGCTCTGCAGCACAGGGGCGCGTGTGTTTCGTTTCTTCATTTCGGGGAGAAAATAGAAGCTGTGCAAAAGCACCCTGGTTGCGCAACGCACAGCAGAGTGCTGAAATGACAGAAATCCCGGGCAGGACCGCGCTGGGCAGCGGCGGGCGCGGCAGCCGGGACCACGTCCTCACCGCCCCACAAGGTAACCCGCGTTTCTTTCTTATTGTCGGGTCATCAGACAGGTTGACTTTTTTTTTCCCCCTCTGATGCTGTTTAGTTTCCAGTTTATGTCAAAGGCTGTGGTTCATGGTTAGGGAATGAATTGGATTGAGAAATATCAGGGCCAGGGACTGTTTTTCAGCACATGGGCCAGTCCAAGCTGGCATCTTGGTGAGACGGTTAATGCATCTCTGACGTGCCCTAAGAAGTTAGACCTGTGCTAGGAATATAATTTTCTTTTACAAGACACTTCTTCAAACGACATGCTTTTGACTTTGGAGGTACTACTGAGCTAAGGAAAAGCAAAAAGCCAAATAAGCACCGTCAACTAATTTGAGTGCAACAACTGTCATTTCATTTGACGAGTGGTAAATTAGACAACGAAACAACAAATCCACAAGCAGCCGGGGCTCCGACCGCAAGCAGGCACAGACTCACCTTCAGCTTCTTGACTAAATTCATGTAAGCACGCTTGTTCTCCTCAGAGCCCCCCGGGGATGCGTTCGACAGGTCCGAGGCTAATGTCCCATTGATTAGAACACCCAGCATGTCAAGAACTGTTGTGAATAATTCACTGAGAGGGAACAGAAAATAAGTCGTTTCACCTTAAAGCAAAACCAAGATACTGTCCGCTGAGTGGGGATTTTGACGTAAGCACAGGCTCTCTAAGGGTGCCTCAGGAAATGGGAGGTGGCAGAATTTGTCGCCTGGGTGCAACCGTCCTGCCATGGACAGGACAGGTGGACAGCACAGGTGGACAGGACAAGTGGACAGGACGGGACAGGTGGACAGCACAGATGGACAGCACAGGTAGACAGGACAAGTGGACAGCACAGGTAGACAGCACAGGTGGACAGCACAGATGGACAGGACAAGTGGACAGGACAGGTGGACAGCACAGATGGACAGCACAGGTGGACAGGACAAGTGGACAGCACAGGTAGACAGCACAGGTGGACAGCACAGATGGACAGGACAAGTGGACAGGACAGGTGGACAGGACGGGTGGACAGGACGGGTGGACAGGACAGGACAGGTGGACAGCACAGATGGACAGCACAGGTGGACAGGACAAGTGGACAGCACAGGAGGACAGCACAGATGGACAGGACAAGTGGACAGGACAGGTGGACAGGACAGGTGGACAGGACGGGTGGACAGGACAGGACAGGTGGACAGCACAGATGGACAGCACAGGTGGACAGGACAAGTGGACAGCACAGGTAGACAGCACAGGTGGACAGCACAGATGGACAGGACAAGTGGACAGGACAGGTGGACAGGACAGGTGGACAGGATGGGTGGACAGCACAGATGGACAGCACAGGTGGACAGGACAAGTGGAAAGCACAGGTAGGCAGCACAGGTGGACAGCACAGATGGACAGGACAAGTGGACAGGACAGGTGGACAGGACAGGACAGGTGGACAGCACAGGTGGACAGGACAAGTGGACAGGACAGGACAGCACAGGTGGACAGGACAAGTGGACAGCACAGGTGGACAGGACAAGTGGACAGGACAGGTGGACAGGACAGGACAGGTGGACAGCACAGGTGGACAGGACAAGTGGACAGGACAGGTGGACAGGACAGGACAGGTGGACAGCACAGGTGGACAGGACAAGTGGACAGGACAGGTGGACAGGACAGGACAGGTGGACAGCACAGGTGGACAGGACAAGTGGATAGGACAGGTGGACAGCACAGGTGGACAGCACAGGTGGACAGCACAGCACAGGTGGACAGCACAGCACAGGTGGACAGCACAGCACAGGTGCAGCAGTGAGCACGCACCTGTCGGTGTGGACGTCCACGGGCCCAGAGGTGATGGTCTGCAGCAGCAGCAGGGCCCAGTCCGCGGCCCACGGGACGCTTCTCTGCACCGTGTCGAACATCCCTCCCACCTGGCACACAGAACGCACACAGAACAGCTGCGTTGTGTTAAAGAGAAAAATACAACCCGTCGCTTTATAGAGCCCAATTCTGATGAATTTTTTAAAATCCCGAAAAAAAAAAAAAAAAAGGAAGGGAGGAGTATCTGAGGGTGAGCACATCGTCCCTATGAGTTACAGCTGACCCCTGACCTCCCACGCAGTGACCACCGATACTGTGCATCAGGACGGTTCACTTTCCTTTATTCCTTCCCTTTCAGGATTCTGTTTTACGGTGTAGTTTTCACCGAATTAAGTTTAAATAGGCCCAAACCACACAATCGGGTTATCTACACCTTTGTGTTGTCAGTTACTATCGACTGTGAGCCTGTGACCAGCGGCCTGTTGCGATAGCGCCCGGGCCTCTCCGGGGACAGAGAAGCAGGGGGAGCAGGTGGCCTGGCCCCAGAGCCCCTCCCCGGGCAGGAACTCAGTCGAAGTCAACCACCCTCCGAGAGGCCGGCGTCTGGCTGGTCCAGGGGGAAAAGGGACAATTCAAAGGAATGCTCATGGTGTGAGAATCTTACTTTCTGTATCCCTTCCGTGTGGGGATGGGCTTTCATGATCAATGCGATGGCAAGTGTGATAGAACGCTGAGGTAAATGTCACTTTAACGTGGTGTTTCAACAAGGAGAGTAAGAGCTAAAGTCCATCTCCAGCGAGGAGGCTCTCGGATGCCTCCGCGCACACCCCCCGAGGGCAGAGTCCCTGGGGCGAGGGCTGCTCAGGGCGTCCCGGAGCCAGACCAGCCAGGAAGACGAAGGTCAGAGACACGGGCGGCTGCAGGACGGCAGCGCGGGTGGGCGACCACAGGCAAGGGGAAGCTGCTCAGACACGCTCGAGGCAGGGACTAGGAAGGCCTCACCAAGTTCAGGCGGAGCTGCAGCGCCTCGTGCACCATCTGCCGCGCTTTCGCGTCGTCCTGGTGCCGGTCCTCTCGCCAGTTACTCAGGATCTGAGCCGGACAAGACAGGGAGAGCAACAGCCCGGACTCATGACCCTGCTCCAGTTACACCGAGCTCCTCACCGATGCTCCAAATGTAACTGCGTCGTTTCACAAAGTAACACATCGAACATCCCTCCTCCCCACCCTGCAGACAGAGACCTGGCTAGCTCCCTGTCATTTCCCGAATTACTCACCCGGGGACCAGTCTTAGAAAGTGTTTTGGAAAACCACGAAGTTACACAGGAACAGAAGTAAAGACTGTTGTGAAATACTGTTGACCCTTGAGCAACCTGCTTTGAACTGTGCAGGTCCGTGTTTGCGAGGATTTCTCAGCGCACTGAGGCTTGGCCCTGGGTTTCACATGTGAGAAACAGTCGTGTTGACCTGGGCTGGGCATGGGAGGACTGGGGAGGGCCGACTGTACCGTACTCTCTTCACCACAGGGCCTTGAGCAGCCTCAGATTTTGATTTCTGATGGGGGATGACTGAAGTTTGGGACAGGCGAAAATGATGCAAGTTCTTGACTGTCTGGGGGTCAGTGCCCCTAAAACCATGGTACCTAAGGGTCAACGCACACCATGGCATTGGTCTTATAAAGATAAGCACTGGACAGATCAAATTACATTTTGAATCAGATCCGGCTTATATTTCTAGGGACATGCTCGGAACCCTAGCAAATGTATTATTTTTGCATCCCGTTGAAGCGGAATCTTGCTATTTTATAGGTGAAGGGGGGTGGGGGAGAATCTCCTTGGCAAGTTCAAGGACCAGCAACGTGGCCACCGTGGAAAGGGTGGCGTGCTCAGGGCCATGACGGGCAGGGAACGAGGAAGAGACAGCCCCCTAAATGATGCCAGGCCTCGTAAGCCCAGGCATAGGCAGAATTACTGCGGCATTTGAGGCCCCAAAGAGATGGGATCCACATTTAAAAAGGATCCTTCCGGCTGCTGGGTGGAGAATAGATGTCTCCCACACCAAAGGTAGGAGACAGTGGAAGAGTCAAGTGAATGTCCTTGTTCCTGTTCACCAGGTAGATTCAGGGGGAGACAGGGACTCACAGAACCGCAGCGCCACCGGAGGGCACCACTGGGCTCGGCTGCAGGAACCCCCTCCCCTACTGGTCTACCCACTGGGCTCCCTTCCACAGGCTCCATCCCTCACGTGGCCGCGAGTCTCCTTGTGGCAAAGCCCATCTTTATCCATGAGCCAAAACGCCTTGTGATGTATCAGCGGGCGCCCTGCGCACCAGGCTGGCTCTCGCGGTAAAGAGACAGCTCTGCACCTACGGGGCTCCAGCCGAGACCCTGCCTGACATGTCGCAGCCGCCAGGGCCAGGGCGCCTCCGGCCTGTTACGGCCAGGCCGACCCCGCCAGGGACCGCTCAGGACCTGTCCCTTGAGGCAGCGTCAGGAGAGGGGCAGACAGGTCCACCCACTGCAGAACGAGCCTGCAGGCGCGGACGTCGAGTGTCTGGAACGCGAGGCGGGAGCCCAGGCACGCGGGAGCCCAGGCACGCGGGGGCCCAGGCACGCGGGGGCCCAGGCACGCGGGGGCCCAGGCACGCGGGGGCCCAGCACACGGGAGCCCAGGCACGCGGGAGCCCAGCACGCGGGGGCCCAGGCACGCGGGAGCCCAGGCACGCGGGGGCCCAGGCACGCGGGGGCCCAGCACGCGGGAGCCCAGGCACGCGGGAGCCCAGCACGCGGGGGCCCAGGCATGCGGGAGCCCAGGCACGCGGGGGCCCAGGCACGCGGGGGCCCAGCACGCGGGAGCCCAGGCACGTGGGAGCCCAGGCACACGGGAGCCCAGCACGCGGGAGTCCAGGCACACGGGAGCCCAGGCACGCGGGAGCACAGCACGCGGGAGCCCAGGCACGCGGGAGCCCAGGCACGTGGGAGCCCAGGCACGCGGGAGCCCAGGCACACGGGAACCCAGGCACGCGGGAGCACAGGCACACGGGAGCCCAGGCACGCGGGAGCCCAGGCACGTGGGAGCCCAGGCACGCGGGAGCCCAGGCACGCGGGAGCACAGGCACACGGGAGCCCAGGCACGTGGGAGCCCAGGCACGCGGGAGCCCAGGCACACGGGAACCCAGGCACGTGGGAGCCCAGGCACGCGGGAGCCCAGGCACGCGGGAACCCAGGCACGCGGGAGCACAGGCACACGGGAGCCCAGGCACGCGGGAGCACAGGCACACGGGAGCCCAGGCACGTGGGAGCCCAGGCACGCGGGAGCCCAGGCACACGGGAGCCCAGGCACGCGGGAGCACAGGCACGCGGGAGCCCAGGCACACGGGAGCACAGCACGCGGGAGCCCAGGCACGCGGGAGCCCAGGCATGCGGGAGCCCAGGCACAGCACGCGGGAGCCCAGGCACGCGGGAGCCCAGGCACACGGGAACCCAGGCACGCGGGAGCACAGGCACACGGGAGCCCAGGCACACGGGAGCACAGCACGCGGGAGCCCAGGCACGCGGGAGCCCAGGCATGCGGGAGCACAGCACGCGGGAGCCCAGGCACACGGGAACCCAGGCACGCGGGAGCACAGGCACACGGGAACCCAGGCACGCGGGAGCCCAGGCACGCGGGAGCCCAGGCACACGGGAACCCAGGCACGCGGGAGCCCAGGCACACGGGAGCCCAGGCACACGGGAGCCCAGGCACACGGGAGCACAGCACGCGGGAGCCCAGGCACGCGGGAGCCCAGGCATGCGGGAGCCCAGGCACAGCACGCGGGAGCCCAGGCACGCGGGGGCCCAGGCACACGGGAGCACAGCACGCGGGAGCCCAGGCACGCGGGAGCCCAGGCACACGGGAGCACAGCACGCGGGAGCCCAGGCACGCGGGAGCCCAGGCATGCGGGAGCCCAGGCATGCGGGAGCCCAGGCACAGCACGCGGGAGCCCAGGCACGCGGGAGCCCAGGCACGCGGGGGCCCAGGCACACGGGAGCACAGCACGCGGGAGCCCAGGCACGCGGGAGCCCAGGCACACGGGAGCACAGCACGCGGGAGCCCAGGCACGCGGGAGCCCAGGCATGCGGGAGCCCAGGCATGCGGGAGCCCAGGCACAGCACGCGGGAGCCCAGGCACGCGGGAGCCCAGGCACGCGCAGGCTCCCCGCGGCCCGGGCCGGGCACCCTACTGGTTCTGTGTGCGCGTGGGGCAGGGGAACAAGCGGATGCCTTAGGGAAACCCCTGCCCGGCTCAGTCCGCGGCGGCGCTTTACCTGGTTCACTTGGTTCTGGAGAGAAGTCAGGAGGCCTTCTCGCTGTTCGTCTTGTCCCTTCAGGCAGGTAAGGACCAGGGAGAGGAATGGTTGTTGGCTCAAGAGAGACATACTGCAAGGGAAGTCGTGACAGCAGGTGTAGTCAGGCGGCAGATTACTCCCTGCGACCTCGGTCCCTGCCCCGGGGTGAGGGACCCGTTTATTTTACTCTTAGAAAATGGAGTTAAGTCCTATCTCTACTGATCATGTTAAAAGGGACTGTCACGCTTCTAAGTAACTTAAAAGCATTCCCAATGCCAGGATAAAGTCACACTGCAAACAGTGTGGAAGTGGGGGGAGGGGGTTGTGTACAGCACCAGTGACCTGTTGTTTTTTGTTTTTATCCTCACCCAGGGACATTTTTGCATTTATCTTCAGATAGAGCAGGAGGGAGAGAGGGAGGAAGAGAGAGAGAGAAACATCGACATGAGAGAGACACATCGAGTGGCTGCCACCCACACGACCCCAACGGGGGCCGGGGACAAACTGCAACCGAGGTACATGCCCTTAGCGGGAACCGAACCCGGGACTCTCTGGTCCGTGGGTGGACGCTCCAACCGCTGAGCCCAACTGGCCAGGGCTGACCTGCCTTTTAAAATATGCATCAGAGGGACTATTACTTTATACACAGAAAGAATTAAAAATTTAAAACTTCCTCACCCACCAAGATCTTATTTCAGGGTCCGGGCCCATCCAGATGCTGTGCTTGTATTTTTCAGCCCCCTTCTCGAGACCAGGGGGTGCTGAGCGGTAGCGCTGAGATCCGACCTGGCCTGAGGGCCCCGGACAGAGGGGCTCGCTCGTGGCCTTCAGAGCATAGTCCCCCTCCCCGGGGCCTCCACGTGCCAAGGGCTTTTAAGACATTTGGTACAAATTCGATTAAGGGTTCTTCAGTTACTGAAAAACAACTAACAGGTCACACTGATAAACTACTGCTACGCTGGAAAGAAACATGTCTTAAAATGAGATTGAGCCCTGGCCGGTTTGGCTCAGCGGTTAGAGCATCGGCCTGTGGTCCAGAGAGACCTAGGGTTCGGTTCCTGCTAAGGGCACGTACCTCGGTTGCAGTTTGTCCCCGGCCCTGGCTGGGTCGTGCGGGTGGTAACCAGTCAATGTGTCCCTTTCACATCAATGTTTCTCTCCCTCCTACTCTATCCGAACAAAATATTGAAAAATGTCCTTGGGTGAGGATAAAAAAAAAAAGGGGGGGGGGGATCAAGGCCCAGACATTTCCGTCTGCTGCTTCTTCCACCAGCTGGGCTGCGGGACTTGGGGGGGCCGCCCCGCACCTCTGCCACCTGCCCTGTCTGCGGGCGGGAGCCAGCCGGCAGCCCACCCCCGGTGGCTCCTGACCCAGGACCGAGTTGAGCGGGCGGCTGGTTAACAGCTGGACAGCAGGACAGGCAGTCGGGTAACGGCCGAGGCACCAGCGGAGTGCGGTCTCCGCCCGTGGGCCGCGGTGAGGCGCGGAGGCCCAGGGCCAGACCAGGGACTCCGCCCAGCTCTTCACCCCTGGGCTGTGTCCCCGGAAAGGGGCTCAACCTTCCGGTGCACCGGGTTCCCGTCTGTGACAGGGTGAGAGAGAGAGCACCTGCCACAGGGCTGCCATGAGATCTGAGGAGCTGGGGACGCACGGACACGTTGACGTAGCTGTTGGCGTGTTGTACGCGCGCAAAGAACAGCAGCTACCAGAGCAGTGTTAATTAGAGGGGAGGAAGCCTGTACGTGCAAACTTTTTATTTTATTTCTTTTCCGTCGCCACTTATCACCTTGTACCCTCGTCTCCCCCTCCCCAAAACAGGAAGAAATGATCATTCCCTTTATCCTACGGTGCTAAATTCACTGTTTCCACAGTTGAGTTTGGTTTTAGACTTCCTCAGTAACCGTCAGTTTTCAAGTACAATTATTTAAAATCTTTTCTAGGGCATAACATAAATTAAAAACAAACAAACAAACAAACAACAACCCTGGCCAGTTTGGCTCAGCAGTTAGAGCATCAGCCCACGGACCAGAAAGGCCGGGGTCCGGTTCCCGCTAAGGGCACGCACCTCGGTTGCAGTTTGTCCCCGGCCCAGCCGGGGTCATGTGGGTGTCAGCCACTCGGTGTGTCTCTCTCACATCGATGTTTCTCTCTCTCTTCCTCCCTCTCACCATCCCGCTCTATCTGAAGATGAATGCAAAAATGTCCTCGGATGAGGATAAGAAAAACAATAGCCCTGGCCAGTGTGGCTCAGCGGTTAGAGCTCGGCCTGAGGACCAGAGAGTTGCCGGTTTGATTCTGGTCAAGGGCACGGACCTCGGTTGCGGTTTGTCCCGGCCCTGGTCAGGGTCATGCGGGAGGCAGCCACTCGATGTGTCTCTCTCACATCAATGTTTCTCTCTGTCTGTCTCTCTCTCTCTCTCCTCCACTCAATCAGACGATAAATAAAAAAATATCCTCGCGTGAGGATTAAAAAAACAAAAAACAAAAAAAGAATAATAAGCTTCATGGTTTATAAGTATTAATATCTAATGTAGAACAAGAGTCTTAAATGCTAAAACGATCAGCAACTATTTCAGGGTCTAACAAGACAGAACTAGAAAGAGTTCGAAGAGACCTGAGTGATTATTTTTTAACAAAGTGAAAAGTAATTAAGAGTAGAAAACGGACCAAGCGACAATCCAGATCTGATTCAGTATGAAGAGGGGCTAAGAAGGCAGGATTTAAAAAAATTTTTTCTTTCTTTATTGATTTTAGAGAGAGAGGAAGGGAGAGGGAGAGAGAGATGGAAACATCGACAAGAGAGAACATCGACTGGCCGCCTCCTGCACGCCCCCCACTGGTCAGCCCACAACCTGGGCATGTGCCCTGACCGGGAATCGAACTAGTGACCTCTTGGTGCAGGGTCGACGCTCAACCACTGAGCCACACTGGCCGGGCAAGAAGGCAGGATTTTAATAGCTCAGCAGTGACTTGGGTGTGTAGGCAGAATGGAAAACTCGTGCAGTGACCAGTATAACCTGAAACATTTTAGGAACAGAGCCTTGCTTAACAAAATATTTTCAATTCGGTGGACTCGGGGTCCAGGATCACGCGTGTTTGCGGACGGTGGGCTCCCCCAGCAGCGCACAGAGACACACCCCCCAGCCATACCTTTTCTGCTTCTGCCTGTCTCTCTCCTTTTTGGAAGAAGAGCCCAGGTGCTGCCCCTTCTCCAGCTCCTCGCCTGCGGCCTTCAGCACCCGCCCTTGCACGGAGGTCGGCAGCCTGGCGATGAGGGGGGCCACCAGCCACACCCCCCTGCGCTCCGAGGAGCTGAAACCAGAAGCAGGCGTCACGCCCTTTCCTCCGCTCTCACCGTCACGGCAGAGCGTCCCCTGTCCGACGCGGGTGCGCAGACACCCCGATGATTCTGAAACCCCTTGTTTTCTATCCTGCTGCTGCCGTGCCGACTAGCAGCTGCGGACACACGTACGCTCCCGGACGGCTTTCAGAGACGGGCTGCGGGAGGGGGCTCTAACCCAACCTTTGAAGGGTCTAGCTACGTGTTTCCCGTGGTTCCGGCTCTCTGATTAGGAACAGTCCTCCCGTCCAGCGCGTCCCTGTCACGGCTAAGATCTGAGATGTTCCGACTGCGTTGAAGCCTACTGACAGCCAGTTTTCAAAGTGTCCGAATTCACCTGACACCCAAATGGTGCAATAAAACCCGCTCTGCCTTTCATGATGGTCATCTCTGCAAATCTGCCCGGTGACAAAGAAGGCAGAGAAGGGGGTTCCCTATCTATTGACGACCACGCCTGGGGCTCCCAGGGGTCTGGGCCCGACTGCGCAATATTCAGGACCTGAGACGCCCTCCACCTGCAGCCTGGCCCTTGGGCACATTATTAACTAACGACAATTGGCACAAGGAATTCCTTCCTTCACATTCCTGCAGCTCAATGAAAAGTACCGGATTGTGCACATCAAACACACTGTTACGTGTGACAAATTAGCAGGAGGCTGACGAAGCCGGGGGACGCGTACCTGAGCAAGGTCTTGATCCCGTTCGGCCGGGGGCCGCCCGCCTCGGCGCCCGCGATGCCCCCGGGGTGGAAGAGGCCCGGGGCCGGGGTGGACGCGCCGCCCCCGTCGGCCGACTGCTGGAACACCTCGATGGTGGCCTTCGCAATGTTGTCCAGCAGGCTGTTCATTTCGGCCACCGAGCCAGAGCCCTAGGGTCGGCACAGGGAACGCGTGTCTCAGCCCATCCTCCGCGTGTGCTGGCTGTGCACACGGGGCGCACGCTCGCCGGATATACTCACGGGGTCCTTCAGGCACTGTTTGATCATCAGCTGCAGCTCCAGCCAGGACTGTCTCAGCGTCCACTGCTCGAGGTTCTGGGGGATGGAAATGATGGAGACATCGGGGCTATGAAGCATCTTACAGTATGGTCATTCCTAGCAGCATTTCCTGCCTCCGGAAAGCACAGAATCATCATACCCACGGCAGGGTCCGCGGTGACAGAGGCAGAGGGTGCCCCGAGCTGGGAGGGCCCCAGCTACTCCCCGGGACGCACGGTCAGCCCCCCGCACCCCGCTCGCGGCTCTGCTGTCCCTGCGAGCATCTGGCTTCATCTCGGTTTACTCCGCTCGTTCACGAGCCTGCTGTGTCCCAAGGTATCAGAAACGCCTACGAGAACTCGTAAGAGCGCTACACGGACTGTGACGCGGCCCGGCGACGCTTCTTGGTGGCCGCGCATGAGAGCATTGAATCTGGGGCCTGGGGATGCTCAGGAATTTCCCCTCCCAGGCGTGGGAGCTGCTTCTTCCCTTGATACCATGTTGGCTCCCAAAAGGTTCCGCAGGGCCCCGCCTTGTCCTGACAGTGGGCACACGGACCAAAGGCTCCCAAGTCACTGACACATGTTCATTGTAAACACAAAGAAATAAATAGCAACGAAAAAAATGTGCCTCCCGCCGGCCGGTGTGGCTCCGTGGTTGAGCGTCGACCCTGCACCAAGTGGTCGCCGGTTCGATTCCCAGTCAGGGCACAGGCCCAGGTTGTGGGCCTGATCCCCAGTGGGGGGCGTGCAGGAGGCGGCCAATCAGTGTTCTCTCTCATCCATGTTTCTATCTCTCTCTCCCTCTCCCTTCCTCTCTCTCTAAAAGTCAACACAGAAAAATAAATAAATACATAAATAAATAATAAATGACCATGTGCCTCCCTCCGCTGGGCACTGGGAATAACGAGGGCCAACATGTCTCCTGCCCGAGTCTACTTATCTAACCAACTTGACTCCAAAATGATGTCAATCTTTTTTGCATACGCTATTAGCACGGTCCCTCCACAAAGCCTCTGCGTCACGGCCACGCAGTGCTGACTGAGGACATGCGCACTCAGGCGGAGCCTGTGCCCAGGCTGCGGTGCCCATCGTACGCCAGCCAGCAGCCAGGGAAAACGGGGGGGGGGGTGCCCATCATACGCCAGCCAGCAGCCAGGGAAAACAGGGGGGTTAAGGATCTGAACTGCCTGAAGCCGCCGAGAAGCAGCAGCCGGCAGTGCGGAACGGAGACGCTCGCGACCACGCAGCAGGCGCCGGGGCCGGAGCACGGCCGGCGGGACAGGGCGGGCGCTCACCTGGAGGATGCGCTTGATGTGCTGCCGCTGCAGGTTGTCCCCGTCCGCGCACTCCTTGATGCCGTGCGGGTAGCAGATGAGCTGCAGCAGCTTCTGCGCTTGCACGTTCGACAGCACGGGGTCCAGGATGAGCTCCTTGTCCGTGCACAGCCTTTCGGGCTCCTTCAAGCAGTGTTCTCCCACCCACTCCTGAGGATGACACAGCGGTCAGCGGGCGGCGCCGGCCGAACATTTCACTTCTCAGAAATACCGGGGGAGCCTCGGTTAGAGAGAGGGCGAAAACACGGATATGCAGGAACAAAGGAGAGGCTAGGCCAGAGGGCGAAGGGGAAGGCTGGCAGGTGTTCTCAGCTGGAAAATGGGCTCTGGCTTGAGGGACGGTTCAGTGACCAGGCTTTTGTTAATTGCAGCACAGGGGCAACAGGTCTACCTCCCGACGTGTCACTTTGATGGAAGGCATTTTACTGTCTTCTACTGAACAGAACATGGTGCAGCATTCAGAAAACTGTCTTTTTCTGATATTACTATCAATGTTACTATTATAAACAAACACTCGTGCACCTCTGCTCTCTGTACAACTTTGTTTTTAGGATGATTTCAGAGAAGTGCAGTTGTGGGGTCAAGGTGCACAGCCAAAATTCAAGGCTATTGGTGCATATGGATGATTGACCAGTGTGAACTCCTATTTACCTTTTCTCCCCAAGGAAAACTCTTCTTCTAAATGAGGTCATAAGACATGGCCCAGGGTCCCTGAGCCCTGTGTGAACCCAGGTCTGGTTCAAATAAAACCTGTCTGTTAACCACTCCACCAGGGGCTCAACGCTTCCTGCCCAATACAATCACCCGAGGAGCTTGTTACAATTCCAAAGCCTGAGCCCCACCGCAGATCAGCCAAGCTTAGGCGGCGGGACCAGGTGTCAGTCATTTTCTTGTGAAGGCATCAAACATGTTTTTAACTCCCAGGTAACCCCAGGGTCCCTCACAGGGGGAGCCAATCATGATCCAGTACAGGGATCTTCACCCTGTACCACGATTCAGCTGACCTTCGCCACGCTCGCAATAGGCCTCACGGAGACATGAGCCTGTCAACAGCAGGCAAGTGGAAAAGAGCATCTGGCCCAGCGGTTCTCACCCTTCCTGACGCTGCGATCCTTCAACACAGCTCCTCCTGCTGTGGGGACCCCCAACCACAAAATTATTTTCGTGGCTACTTCATAACTGTAATTTTGCTACTGTTATGTCTTAGACGACCCCTGTGAAAGGGTCGTTCGACCCCCAAAGGGGTCGTGACCCCCAGGTTGAGAACTGCTGATATGGGCTTTGCCATGATTCTTTTGCTAAGAAAAGAGACATTAAAGAAAAACAAACATGAAATGTTACACCAGAAAATAATGAAATTGATCACCCAGGGTAGGCAAGACACAGGGTAGAGGGGGAAGGGAGATCTGAGTGTGCCTTTCTGCATGGCTGGCCTGTGTAAGCTGTTCTGAAGACAGAGCTGGGGATCTGGCCGGTGTGGCTCAGTGGTTGAGGGTCGACCCTGCACCAAGAGGTCGCCAGTTCGATTCCCGGTCAGGGCACATGCCCAGGTGCATTTCAGATCCCCAGTGGGGGGCGTGCAGGAGGCAGCCAGTCGATGTTCTCTCTCATCGATGTTTCCATCTCTCTCTCCCTTCTTCTCTCTCCAAAATCAATAAAGGAAAAAAACAAAAGTTGGGGGGAGGAGAGGAGAAGTCTACACTGAATGTAAACAGAAAGAAATAAAATCAATCCCATTTCACGTGAGAAAGTTCAAATGACTTAACACAACACAGGAAACCCTTAGGGGAGAAGTACAAAGACGTTTTCAAATGTTTTTAGGAGGCTTGTTTTTCCTAGTGGTGTCGGTGTAGCCAAACTATTACAGGTGCAGTGGAGAACAAAGCTCACGAGTCACAGGGTTCCCACACCGGGGGAGTAGGGGTTCTCGGTGTGGAAGGCGGCAGTATCGACGTGGAACGGGGAACACAAAGACCTTTGTGGGGCTGGACTGGAACTAAAGGTAGCAGTATGAACTCATGATTGACACACACATTTACGTATGTAGATGTTTTCCTCTTAGCTCCGTCTGCTGAAATGGCCGGAAACAATGAGCACACACAGTGCCCTGATCTTGGTGTCTAACTACCCTCCTTCTGCTGAACAGAACTGGGTTCCTTAGAGGAATGAGTAATTCCAGATCGGGGGCAGGGAAAGTACAAAAGAAGCCAAAGAGTTAAAAAAAAAAAAAAAAGATAAAGACAGACCAAAATAACATAAGAGCCAGCGTGAAAATATAGGCAAATATTCCCACTGGAAAAATCTGGGACACGTCAAACATGAACAGAACTAAGGACAGTAACTTAGAATCCCTATGAAAAACAAGCAAATGCAGATACGGGGAAACTAAGTCAGGGCAGGCCCTTCCTTCGGGAAAAAGGCCAACTGCTGGCCGGGGGACAGGAGCTGGCAGAAAATCACCACTTCGCAACATCACGGTAAAGACGGGTCTGGACGAGGACCAACCTGGATGCTTGCGGGAGGGGAGAGAGCTTGACAGGACTATTTGCACTGAAAGTGTCTCCCCAAAGACCGCGGATTAATCGCAAGGGAGAGGATAATCCTCCAGTTATGAAATCCTGACATCACACTGCGGAGACATCTTGATCAACCTAACATCACCAGTGAGGTGCCAACGGACGGCGTGGACCTTCAGACTGACTACCTGAGAAGCACACATCACTTCTGCAGTGTCTCGGCCAGGAATGCACAATCTGGAGCTAATCTACAGGCCACGTCAGACAAACCCAACAGAGCGGGGACAAGTGACAGAATTGAAATGTGGCCTGCAGGCGGGAGAAAATGACCGTGCCGATGCTCAGTTTCCTGGATTTTGTTAACTGCAGTTTGCTTATGTTAACCAACACCGAAGTATGACACAGTAAGAGAGGAAAGTGTATGCCAACTACTCTCAAAAGGTTCAAAAAAAAAAAAATTAAGTATACACATCGACAATGCCACACACAAACAGAATCACAAAGCGAATGTGGGGGACTGCAAAAGGTTCATGAATCTGCAGACAAGGAGACAGCGGAGGTCTTGATCACTCTTGCGACTTTTCAGCAAATTTGGAATTATTTCCAAACGACAGGAGCAGGAAGAAAAGGGCCACCCATGGACACGTGCTGGACCTCAGTGGGACCCTCGCTCCGGAAGGACAGCCACGTCGTCTAAGTGAGAGGCCGGTGGGGTCTGAGGCGTACCTGTTGACAGATGGTCCGCAGTACGTATCTCGCATACTCCCTCAAATTGGCCGTCTCTATGGAAATGCCCTTCCCGCAGGGTTTCGCGCTCTGCGAGGCCGTCCAGAGATCGTCGCCATTCCCGTCGCGGCGTAGGCCCCTCACGGCGAAGTCCTCGCTCTTTAAAGAGCTGACGCTGTTGTTGCCGATTTTGGCGTCTCCTGAATAACAGAAGCACAAAACCCACAGCGCACACGTTCAGAGCATCTGCAAACAGCTGGGAGGGCGGGGGGCAAGTGTGCGGGGACCTGCGGTTGCTCAGCATGGACAGAACGGATCGAGGGGATGATGCGAGAACCCAGGAAGCTTCACCAGACACGGGAACGAAGCGAGTTCGAGACTCAACCCTCCTTGTGTTGACAGAATTAAGTATTCCCGCACCACACTCGGAGACGCCGGTAGGAATCACGCGTAACCATCGCAGGACACGGATTTCACCGATGTTCCAGGCATGGAGGTATTCAAATTCACGTGACTCATAGACGAGGAAAAAGTGGGTTCCTCACCCTACTAGGTGTCCCCTGGACCCCTTCCTCTCTTACATGACCTATTCTCTATCCACAGGTCAAGAGGAAAGTTTTGCCTTAGCCCACCTCACTATCAGCGTCTTGACAAGAGGGAGTTATTTCCCTGAGAACAGAAACGGGCGTACTACGGGCGTACTACGGGCGCCCCGGGACACAGGGCGTCCAGGGAATGACCCGCCTTTTACCTCCTGTCTGTCAGCACCAACACGGACATCGTCACCTCGGCCATCTCTAATGCACTCAACTGAAATGAGGCTAAGGAAACTGTTTTCCTTATTTTAAAAAAAGGTCTGGGGGTGGGGGTGGGGGTGGGGGTGGGGGTGAGGTGGGGGAAACTGAGCAGAATGGTTGAATATCTAGAAGAAAGAAATGTTCCCTAGCTGTGAAAGACACGCATTTTGAAGGTGAAGGAATAAAACAATGCGGTAATGAAGACAGACCAAATGACAACAGACCCTCCAAGCTCTCTGTGTACCCACAGGATCGTAAGCATCGAGAAAAAAATTTCCCGGAACCACAAATGAATTTACAGGAGGCTCTCAGAGCAAAGTCAAGCCCAGATCAGGGCGAAAGGTCTTTTACAACCCGCAGGTCCACTGAGAAAAAGTTTTGACTCTGATGAAAAAAACATGAAAAGTCAGAATTGCTTGCTGAATATTCCCTTATAAAATCATTAAAAGGAGAGGGGGAATACAAATACATTTCAAGTCATCAAAATCTTACTATATATTATAAACATTTCTCATTAAAATGTACAGACGAAAACCACCAATTTCACTTCACCCAGGAGTTTATTTCATTCCACAGAGTTTCTTTAGGAGCTGAAAGAAAGACCACATTCTATGTGCATCGAAATATAGCATGCTTTCTCCAAACTTCGGCAAAATAAACAACTACGTCTACACCTTAAGTTAAACTACTATAGAAATTGGAAACCAAATCTATAAAGCAGTCCCAACTCCCTAACTCAAAATAGGTCCTAATGGGCAGGACTTGAGAGAATATTGGTTCAGACCTATGATATAGATAAATTAAAACTTCTGAAAAACAGACATCCCAGCTAGTCCCAGACTAGGAGATCCTCAAATCACTTTAGATGTTTGGATGACTTGGAGGCTCACCAGCAACTTCTACAATCATAAAGATGATAGAAAAAAATACAGTGTTCAGTGACGGCCTCGCCCAAGGTTCTGCTCACATCCAACCAGCCTAATCCTGACTTTCAGACCTGCATACCCTCCCAGTGCTCAAAAAACTGTAGACCGGAGACTAACTAAAAAAAAAAAAATGAGCCCTGGCCGATTTTGCTCAGTAGTTAGAACGTCGGCCTGCGGACCAGAGAGTCCCAGGTTCGGTTCCCGCTAAGGGCATGTACCTCGGTTGCGGTTTGTCCGCAGCCCCGAATGGGGTCGTGTGGGTGGCAGCCAGTCAGTGTGTCTCTCTCACGTCGATGTTTCTCTCTCTCTCTTGCTCTATCTGAAGATAAATGCAAAAAAAAAGTCCTTGGGTGAGGATAAAAAAAAAAAAAGAGTCGGTGACTAAGCATGGATAGTAACTATGGTGATTTGGATATTTAAAGAGGTTGGGCAATTTGACTTGGGATCAAAACAGTCCTTCAGATCAAAGGGACAAGGCCTAGACTGCACTGGTCTTGGTTGATGCCATTGAGATGTCTACCCCTTACACAATTATTAGTTCATGGGAATCTCCTACTTAGTTTCTCTGATGACCATTAGCTACCATGGTAAGAAACTGAGTCCCTGAGTTCATGACTCTACCTCTGTTTATTGAACAGAATGTACCAGCCATCTTTCCTTTCAAATATCATCAGAATACAGAAATGTTACTTATTGCGATGACCCCTATGTTGGAGGAATAATACAAACAACTCCTGAGCCCTGGCCGGTTTGGCTCAGCGGATGGAACATCGGCCTGTGGTTCTGAGAGGCCCGGGTTCGGTTCCCGCTAAGGGCATGTACCTCGGTTGCAGTTTGTCCCCGGCCCCGGTCAGTCGTGCGGGTGGCAGCCACTCGATGTGTCCCTTTCACGTCGATGTTTCTCTCTCTCTCTCTGTTCCTCTCTCTCCCTCCCACTCTACCTGAACAACAACAACAAAAAACAGCTCCTGAGCTCAGAGCAAAACTGTCGCCCTTCATGTGACTCTACTTTCTCCTTTTGACTACAAAAGTAATGGTGTTAATGGGAACATTAACATGTGCCTGTGTATAGGCACACATACATGTATATATGGATACGAGTGTGTATATGGAGATATTTTTAGATACATTTTTAATAACTTGTTTTATGGAAACTGTTTTCCTTCCCTATCATTGCTAAATAACGCCTCCCAAGTAGGAGAACAAAGGGGTAGGGTTTATCCCCAAATATATCCGTTAAGACTCAGCAAAGAGCCCTGGCTGGTTTGGCTCAGCGGTCAGAGCATCAACCTGCGGTCCGGAGAGACCCGGGTTCGGTTCCCGCTAAGGGCATGTACCTCGGTTGCAGTTTGTCCCCGGCCCTGGTTGGTCGTGCGGGTGGCAGCCACTCAATGTGTCCCTTTCACATCGATGTTTCTCTATCCCTCTCTCTTCCTCTCTCTCCCTCCCACTCTATCTGTGCAAAAATGGGAAAAAATGTCCTCGGGTGAGGATAAAAAAAAAAAAAAAAAAAAAAAAGACTCAGCAAAGACAATTCCTAGGCAGTCATTTCTGTTCTGATCCAAGGGGGCTCCTTCAGGCTATAAGAAACCCCTTTTGTTGGGTGAACGCCCAAACAGGGTACCCAGAGTTGGAACTGGACGGTGTGAATTCGAGACTTCCTAATCCTCCTCCTAACTGATTTATTTATAGGACAGAAATGTCTAAAGGTGAACAGAAAAGCAGTGTTCCTGCTCCAGGGGGTTACATATCCCAATAAGAACATAAAAGGCATTTAGGACATCATGAATTATGTGGGAAAAAAAGATGAGATTTCTAACACTGACTTATCGGTGATATCCATCTCAATGCAATCACTACCTGATGGATGGAAAAACTATGGTACAAGGACATGAACTTGTTCAGGGTCACAACGAAAGCAGAAACATTAAGATGAAAACCCAGGTTTTGTGCCGCTCCACGCCGGGGATAGAACGTAACATTTCAGCCTTTGGTTAGGTCACCACGTCTTCTGTGTCCATCACACAGTGTGACTTATGCCAACGAGTCAGAGCGACACAGCCCAGGGGGTCTGAGGATCCGAGACAGACGCGGTTAGAACACCACCGAAAAGAAAAAAAGGTATTGCATTTAAATCCCACCAGCGTGGAAGGTCAGGTACAGGCTTCTTGGAGTCCGGCTGAACTTGGACTTGGGAGAAGTCAACTAATTTTTTCCCGGAGAACAAAACGACAGAAACATTTCTGCTGATGTGAAAGAGAGGTGAACTCCTGGTGGCGAACAGACTCAGCGCCAGCAAGGGCTTACCGAGCATCATGATGGCTTTCAGCACGGCAAACACCGCTCCCACCTCGATGCTGTTGTGCGCGGCCGCGAGGAGGTGCCTGTCGCAGGATGAGCGGATTCCCGGGAAGGGTTTGCCTGCGGGAACAGCAGCAGACCGCCAATCATCCCATCACCATCATCAACAGTGCTTCCTAACCACTCAGAGTCCGCAGGCTTTTCACTGTTAGACTGCGGGGGCTTAATGCCATTCGCTGGTTTAACTGATGCCCAGGGGTGCAGGAAACATGCCGGGACTCCCACGGAACCTTTTCCTTCCTGCTGTTAACGTAACGTCTTTGCTCCTCAGAGATGTGTCAACACCACCAGTAGGGTTTTCATCCACTTATGCTGATGGTCACACACTCTCGCGCGCGCACACACTCGCGCACACACACACACACTTGCGTGCCCACGCATGCACACGCACACGCGCCAACATGACATGATCTTTAGGAACAGACTTCACCTACATCCCTCGATGTCTTACCTGATTCCTCTGACCCTAGGAAAAGAATAAACGAACTACACGCGCACACAGCGCGTCAGAGCACCACGCTGCCCCCCAGCGTGGCCGGCCTGAGCGCAAAAGTATTTTTATCGTTTATTAACTGCGGGTGTGAGTTTCTCAACACGTCCTGACGGGACACGGGGAGGAGGCTGCCAGCACTCTCTATGGCATCACAGGGCCCCCCCATACGCCCTTCCCCCCGAAGTCAGGGAGGAAATGACAGACGCAGCCAGGGGTTTGTCAGCGGCCAGCTCACCGGTTGCTTGAGGCGACAGGCAGGCCTGGGGGGCGCGAAAGAGGTGGAGCAGGAGGCGGCAGGTCATCCTGGCCCCGGGCTCAGCATCCGCGTCTCCGCAAGCTGGGGAGAAGGAATCAAAGCACGTTGCCTCGTATACCAAGACCATGTCTCCCCAGCTTTGCTGCTCGGCTAAACTTTCTCCAACAATGCGGATGGCTGCTCCTTCTGGTAAGAAATCAGGCACTGGCTACGCCTTCCTGAGAACCCCGGAGGCACAGGCTGCTTCAGACATGGGGACCGGCACCCCCGGACGCACAGGGCGTCCTGTAGAAGGGTGACGATGCCGCCGTGTCTCCCTGCAGGCCACACCGCTGCCCCACGTGCTGCCCCGCGGCCTGGCCCCGACTGCGCCCCCCCGCCGCCCCCGCCCCGGCAGCCCGCCGCCCTGCACCCGCCTCACCTGCTGCGAGGAGGGAGGGCAGAGCCACGTGCTGCACCACGTCCTCCAGGGAGAAACACTGTCGTGCTATCAGAATAGCAATGAAAGTAGCTAGTGAATCATGGAATGAAAGGTCACTCACCTTCAAGAAAAACATTGACACGTTTTAATACCGGACGCCCTCTTCTGTGGGAGCTACGACTAATCTCTAAGAGAATGTAGGCAACATCAACACGTTCTCGGGCCCCCCAGTGAGCGCAAGGGTAACTTATCAGGAGTATTAGCCTCCAGGCCCACTTCATAGGACAAAGGAGGAGGTTTACCCCCACCCCAACGCTGTAAGAAGACACTGCGCTTTAGCTGGAGTACAGATAATTGAAAAAGAAGACAAGAAAGAAAAATAAAAAAATTCCTAAAAGACGTAGCAGAAGTAAAACTTTTCTGCAAAATTTGATGCAACCTGTCATTGAAGGGTGACCACCAGTAAGCCAAGAATAACCCGGAGGTCGCCCTAGTTGAGAAAACAAGCCTACGTCATGTTTTGGGGTTCTCTTCAGGGATAACAAAGTAATGAGTCTAATAAAATTGAATTTGTTTTTAAAAAACCCTGAAAATTTACAGCTGACTTATAAATTTTAAAAGAGAGAAAAGAGGAAGAACAGTTAATTCATTCATAGTAAAACTTCTCTCTACAAATCTCATGAAACTTTAGCAGAAAATAATAATAATAATTAATAATAAACCATCTAAAAGAGCAGTCTTCACATTAAATTGTAGTATATGCCAGAGATCATGGTTAGCAACCTACAAACATCACCTCATTTAACAGCACTACGCCATGAGGTTCACTACTGTTAATTCCAATCTTACATGTCAAATGTAACAAAAAACACTAAGAGGTCAGGCAACAATGTTAAAGATAAAATGCTTTTCTGTCTAGAATGCAGTAGGACCATCCAGCCCAGTCTGGAAATGTCAGAACTGGGAAGTTCAACTTTACCTGGGGCTAGTTTTGAAATGTATAAAAGTGCTCTGGCCCTGGTTGGTTTGGCTCTGCAGTTAGAGTATCAGCCTGAGGACCAGAGAGGCCCGGGTTTGGTTCCCACTAAGGGCGTGTATGTCAGTTGCGGTTTGTCCCCGGCCCCGGTTGGGGTCGTGTGGGTGGCAACCACTCGATGTGGCTCTCTCACGTCGATGTTTCTCTCTCTCTCTTTCTCCCTCTCTCCCTCCCATGCTCTCTGAAGATAAATGCAAAAATGTCCTAGGGTGAGGATAAAAAAAAAAAAATATATATATATATATATGCATACATACACACACACACACACAGTCGTCCCCGCCACTTCATGCTTTGACCTTCGAGGCTTCACTCTATCGCGGTTTTTTCAAATATATTCATTAAAAAGTTGATCGAGACTGAAAATGATACAGCGCGCACTCGGTTGTCTGAGTCCATTATACACCCTGTGTTACAATCACAACTAAAATGGCTGTTGTATGGACTGGAGGCCTACGCGTTCGAGCGCCCCAGGAACCCTTCAACACCAGGTGCAACCGCCAAGTCTGGACCCGATTAACCGCGACAAACGAGGGACGCCTGTATGTAACATTGTTCTGGACGGAATTGTTCTGGACGGAAGCTCCGCTAACATACAACAGATCACGCCCAAAGTGGCAGGCACAACTAGATAAAGCAGCAAGGTGGATTTTTAAGGAATTCGTCCATCTGCAGGCAGGCTATTCTAGGACATCTGCGATAAGCAAAGGGTGTATTTCCATCCCTTGCAGACACAGTCCCCGAGAACGATGAGGTGCCCCAGGGAATCTGAGCCTGATACTCTCAGGCAACACACAGAAGCAACCACACTCAGGTGCTCTGCGTTCGGTGCGAGGAGGAGCGAATGTTCTACATTTCAGTTCAGGGTTGAACCCATGAAAGACCTTACTCACTAGCGAACTATCTCAGTGCAGGGGGTGTCAGTGAGCGAGAACACTTACATCCACGGTGCAAAGCACATCATTGAACCCCCACACGTGGTTGGAAGAACAACACAGGGCCTTCAGAACGCCCAGCCACTCCGAGCTGAGGGCGGTGCAGCAAGCGGTCAGCTCGGAGGAGAAGCTGGCTATGTCGTTGATCCTGGGAAGAAGGAAAGGAACACACACGGTGGATGTCACAGGAAGTCTGTCTGCCCGGGACAGACGTAGGGAACGCATACTGCACTATCATTAAACAAGTCGCTCCTGTCTGACACGCAAGGAGATAACACCCGCTGGACAAATGACCTGGTAGAACCCTGGAGCACAAGCTAACAGTAAATGGCTTCAGACGTTTTCTATTGTGGTGGGCCGGTGGGCAGCAGTGACCACTGCCAGTGTCAAGGGTCATACTTTGGGTTCTGTGACCAAATCTGACCTTATACAATGACCTTTGAAGAGCATCCAAAAAAAATTTTTTTTGAACTATGTAATTGTCCAGCTGGTGTGGCTCAGTGGTTGTCGACCCTGCACCAAGAGGTCGCCGGTTCGATTCCCGGTCAGGGCACATGCCCAGGTTGTGGGCTGATCCCCAGCAGGGGGCGTGCAGGAGGCGGCCAGTCGATGTTCTCTCTCATCGATGTTTCTCTCTCTCTCCCTCTCCCTTCCTCTCTCTTCTAAAATCAATAAAGGGGGAAAAAAAACACAACTATATAATTTAGGTGGGCCTAAATACAGTGTTTTAAAAAGACAGGTAATTTTTACTTGCTCTTTTAGTGTATGTGTTTTAGTCTCTCGGGCTGAGGAAACCACAGGGCGGAGCAGAGCAAATCAACGTAAGAAAAGTGCACGGCATCCAAATGTCAGCCCGGGTGATTCCTCGGGGAGCCCACGTCCCCATCGCGTCAAAGCCGGCCTGGCTGGGCGGCCACACGCTGCAGGGCGGCGCGGCTCACCTGCCGGCGTCCTGATGGCCCATGCACACGTTCATGAGCGTGTTGCACACGAAGCTGTAGCGGTTGGCCGCGTTGTCGCTGAGGACCTTGCCCAGCATGGAGTAGTTGACGCTCCGTGCGGAAGGGTTCTCGATGAAATCCATCATGAAGTCCGGGTCCCATCGCAGGTTGGAGTTGGCAGGCATGACGTTGTTATAGATGGTCTGCTTCACTTTTAAACAGGCACTACTGAGGTTACAAGAAAACAAGTTACAAACAAGAAGCAAGGAGAGTAACCGGAAAGACAGTGCATGTGAGGACAGAGTGAACGGCAGCAACTGTCATGAAGTTCCAGAAAAGAGGCACATTAGGAGGTCCTGATTCCAAATTCTTAATACTGACCACTGTCTGGGCGCACCAGTGGGTCAATAGTTACCGAGTAGGCTGAAGAACAAAACAAGAATAAGACATTTGGCCACGAGTCCTAATTATTTTCTAAAGTTTTTCGACATGTTACATGCTCTAAAGATACAAGGACGAAGGCTCCCACAGGGGCTCTGAACAGCAGTTGCAAAGCATTGTCGCTTAAGAATGAAAATGGCTTAGACGACACATCAGGAACAACTGGGTGTTCAGCCCTAATTACACATCCTGCAGAACTGTTCCTCTAGGTGCAGGGTCTGCGGCTGCGAACAGAGGCTCACTCCCTGCCCCCCAGGCGCTCAGACTCCGGGAGGGGGTGCGGCGGACACACACAGTCAGCGAGAGTGAAGGAACCATGTCATTCCTGAAACCTCGTCCTGTTCTGTTCTGTAGCAGCGTTAGGAGCGCTTTAAGAGGCCGGTCTATCCTATGAAAACAGTATGCCCCAGTGACTTACACCTGAACACAACACGGAATGTTCTAGTAAGAGGGAATTAGAAAGTATCTCATCCCGTCGGCCCTGTGGATGAGGCTGAGGGGCAACCTGATTCCCCAGCTCCGATCCCATGTACTAGTTGCTGGACAGTAAGTTCATCCAGCTGCACCCACCTCTATTCAAGAGCTCTTCTGTGCAGGAGGAAGTCTCTTTCTCTTAGATTAAGTTTTTGGCAGCAAATTTATGTTATAAAGGTGACACAGCTTTTCCCCCGAGGCTTTGCACCTACAGAAACAGTAGCCGGGAATCGCCCTGGCCGGTGTGCTCAGTGGTTAGAGCGTCGGCCCAGGGGCCAATGAGTCGCAGGTTCACTTTCGGTCAAGGGCAAGTACCTCAGTTGTGGTTCATCCCCAGTCCTAGTTGGGGTCGTGCAAGAGGCAGCCAGTGGCTGTGTCCCTCTCATATTGATGTTTCCCTCCCTCCTTCCCTCCCTCTCTTTCCGAAAATAAATGGAAAAATATCCTCGATTGAGGATAAAAAAAAAAATAGTAGCCAGGAATGATTTCCTTAAAAATGCAAAGGCAGCCCAGCTGGAGTGGCTCAGTGGTTGAGTGTTGACCCATGTACCAAGAGGTCGCTGGTTCGATTCCCAGTCAGAGCACATGCCCAGGTTGTGGGCTGATCCCCAGTGGGGGGCGTGCAGGAGGCGGCCAGTCGATGTTCTCTCCCATCGATGTTTCTCTCTTCCTCTCCCTCTCCCTCCCTCTCTCTCTAAAATCAATGAAGGACAAATATTTTTTTAAATAAAAAAATAGATAAAAATGCAAAGGCATACAAATGCCGCTCTTTACCCTAAACTCCTGCTGTTGCCAGTTGCTTTAAGAAGACAGAGATCGTTCTGTTCGTTGTTCACCCAAACGTGGCCTCCTCCCTCCTCCCTCGGAACCTCCTCCGCGTTGTCTGTTAAAAACAAAACTCCTGGGCCTCACCGTCGGTCTACGGAGTCTGCGTTTGAAAAGCTGTCCCAGGACATCACTGCCAACAGTGCCTGGGGAGCACTGTTTGGAGAGGGGACCGAATCCGGCACTGGACGGCTGTGCTAGCAGCCTCCTCCCCCCTTTCCAGATAGTGCATGTAGACACACCCGTGGTCATGGGAGGGCGCACACTTGCAGTCTGCAGTCACCGGCTGTTCAGAATGATGGACGCTTGACAGTCCTCCGGGCTTCGCAATCTCCGTTCTCTCTTACCGACTCCTGCCGAGTCCCAGCCTAACTGTTCTTTCTCACTTAGCAACCGTCCCCAACTTGTTTCACTTTCCCACTCAAAGTGCAACAAAACCAACTTCGCTCCCCTCCCCATCGCCACGCCCCTGACTCCGCCACCTCCCCGTCCGTCCATCTGTCCGTCCGTCCGCTGAGTGTCGGGAGAAGCAGGTCTCTGCGGACGGGGAGCGTCCCCGATTTCAGTCGGCTGCCGCCTCCTTCTGCAACCAGTCATTCCCGCCTGTGGAAACCCAGAGGACTCTGCTTTTCCTCTTAACTTTCCGAAGATGCAGCCCTTCCTTTTCCACCAGGATAGAGACGTCTCTCGAGCTGACGCCCTCCGACCTCCGGCCAGGACTGGACGCTTTTTCTGAACTGCGTGGCTCAGGGTGAAGTCTCTTCACCTCTGTCCCTAGGTTTCCTGTTTCGTTCCGAGACTCGGTCCAGATGACCGTCTGTTTTCACAGCCAGCGCGCTGCTACCCAGGCTGCTCTCGGCGCCAGGCGTGTACGGAGCTGAGGAGGTGATCCGGGTGTTTTCCTTCTGCAGCGGCGTGTAGCAACCCTGGCCGGTAGGAAGGGGGCACACGCTCGGAGGCAAAGGACCTGTGTTCACATCCAGCTTCCACCGTCCGTGCACGTACAATGTACGCAGTCATGTGCTCATGGGAGAAGCCATTTCCACTTCCTGGGTGGGGGAGGACAGAGATCTGCATGGCGACCACGCCACCCCATGTTGGCACAGCGGCACGGTGCACGGGGTGCTATACGCCCCCAGGCATTCCCTTACTCGACGCTATCGATGGGCTGCAGATCCCACTACAGAAACTCTTATTAGCACACTGACAGAAATCTCTGCACAGCCTCCTCTGGTTCGACCGTGTCCCTTAACCCCGGACTGGAAGTAACGCCTGCCTTCCAGGTGTCTGTCTGTCCCGGTCTTTAACCAGGGGAAGGTCAGCCAGGTCACACCCTGTGATCTGCCCGGGGGGGGGGGGGGGCCCTGGGCAGCCCTCAGGTCACGGTGGGTCTCTCCCCGCCCCCATAGGGCTCCATGAACTCATGTAACCACTTGTGCCGCCCTGGGGAGCATTCGGGGTCAAACAGGCTCTTGGGACTTTCTTGGGAAGTTCACTGTGAGAAACACGCTGACGTAAGCGGGGCGCGCGTGGGAACGCTCTGGGGGCCGCTCCCGGAACGGCAGACACCACAGGACGCGCGTCAATGCCCACGCTCCCTCCTTTCTGCAGGAAGGTGTTTCCTAAGATCCACTCCAATGGTCTACAGGGGTTACTTTGTAACCAGTTCATCTCATGAGGACATACTTTCACATTTTCCGCACTGATACCACTCAGAGGCTCATGACAGTTTTGTACGCAGCTTTTGTATGTCCCCAGGGACTTATCTGAGCTTCCTATGGGGCAGACACTCTTCCAGGTTCTGGTGCAGAAAACAGAAAAGGTGTCTGCTTTCGCGAAGCTTTCATTCTAGGGAGGAGAGAGGTTATGCATCAGTACGCGCTGGAGCGGGTCAGTGCCAGAGCTCAAGGAATGGCAGGCAGTACGGGGAGGGGTGCTGTTTGAAACGGGGTGCCAGGACGGAGAGCCGTGAGTGAGCTGTGGACGTCAGACGAAGGAACCGGGGGACACACGAGGTACCAGGACGTGCAGAGGCCCGAGCTGGGGGTGCAGAGGGCCTGAGGACCAGGGAGGAGGTGCCTGTACTGAGCAGAGCAGAGAGCCCGAGGCAGGAGAGACAATCGGATCTAGCAGAGCCGAGGCTGGTACGGACCTCAGAGATCTCTGTTCTGGGCGATGAGAAGCTGCCAGAAAACTCGTCCTTGTTTTACAAGGCTGACTGTAGTGGATGCGCTGGTCACACGCTCAAGAGCGTCCGAGAGGCAAGGAGGACGCAGTGCAAAGAGCTCCCCATGGGTCTGACCGAGCGAGGACCACGGTGGCCGTGGCAGAGCAATGGAGGGTCAGACTCCAGGTACCATCCCTGGAAGGGGCGCACGGGACCTGCACACGCCGGACGCGGGGCAGGAGGGAAAACCGGTCATGCTGCCCTTACCTCCCGCTAGAGTCTACATTTCCTTTGCCGGCTACTCCTGCCCCCTAGAGCCACAACCGAAGTGTCCTCGGGGGAACGTGAAATACGCCCGTCCGTCCAGGATCTGTGCGCCCGCGGGGGCGGCGGGAGCCGACACGAAGGGGTTGGAGGGTCTGGGGTGATGGGAGAAGCAGGACGGTCAAGGACGCGGACCAGCGAGCACAGTGAGAAAGGAAGTGTGTAAAGGGGGGAGACAACGTCACGAAGGAGTTGACAGCAAGTGCGAAATACAGAACGTCGCCTCTGCAGGTGACCTCATATCGCAAGCGTAGTTACACACGCACTTGTGCTAAGAGGGTGCGGCCACAGGAACGGTGGCCCTTGGAGCTGGGCAGGCATAAGGGCATTAGCGCTCGGGGTTGAACACTGACCAAGAGGCGTGGGCCTCCCCTTCTGATGTCCTTCTACCCACCTGAAGAGGTCTCCGAATTTGCTTCTGAGGTGGCTGCACGACACGTAGAGGTCATAGAGGTAGGCGAGGATGCATCTCTCAGGAGAGGAGCACTCTGAGGGGTTGACGACATGTTTGACCACACCACACAGCCTGCGGAGGGAGAGGGGCGGAATGAGATGCCCACCTGAGGTGCACGCTCCTGTCCGACTCGTCTGGCGCGAGAGTCTGCCCGTTTACTACTTGTGTGAAAAAGAAGGTGTCAGACTGGACACTAATCACTATCGCCATGGGAGATAACTGAGAAAAGTATCAGTTGATGCTACTGAAATACTAGATTTTTTTTTTTTTAGGAAACTTCCAAAATAACATTAGCAACAAGAAACAATAAAAATCTCTCCCTCCAGAAGGTATATATGGATGAACCCATCGATTAAGTTGCGGTGACTAGGACATGAAAGGAAATTGAAGTAGAGAATCTCTCTTCCGTGAAATGATTCACAAAGTCAGGGAACTTTCGAAGATCTCGATGCGACCTCTTTGTTAAGGAGCAGTTCCTACCAGGAAGTCCGGGAAATCCATTTGTAACCGGGAGCTGGTTCTCTCGTGAACCCGCTGGAGCCACAGTTTGAGGGTACACTGCCCTTGTTACCCAAACTAGAAACAAACGTTTTTTTTTATCCTCACCCGAGGACATTTTTCCATTTTTTGCACAGATAGAGTGGGAGGGAGAGAGAGGGAGAGAGAGAGAGAAACATCGACGTGAAAGGGACACATCGAGTGACTGCCACCCGCACAACCAACCAAGGCCGGGGACAAACTGCAACCGAGGTACATGCCCTTAGCGGGAACCGAACCCGGGTCTCTCCGGACCGCAGGCGGATGCTCTAACCGCTGAGCCAAACCGGCCAGGGCGAAACAAACGTATTTTTGCAGTCTTATAGAAGAATTAACACCCCCCACCCCTGTGACATGCTCTGTAAGTCTTTCTGTTCTAAAACGTCAGGACCACTGCAACCTGCGCCGTCCCCCAGTCCTAACGATGGCCTCTGGCCACAGTCCCTACCACACAGAGGTGAACAAGAGGGGTCTGCCCACCCCCCTGTGGGTCTGATGGCACGACCCTGCCGTATTCTGTGACACTGTGACAGTTACAGGTTTCGGCCTCTGATGGTGTTAGAGACGACTCAGATTCTTAAAGCTGAAATGGACTCTAGGAATGACCCGAGTCACCGTCGTCCTCATTTTACAAAGAAGCTCAGAAAGGTGAAGGAAGCTGCTCGCAGGCCCAGAGCTAGTACCCAGCAGGCCCCAGGGGAGTGCTTAGGTCTCCAGGCCCCAGGGTCACACCCTGTTCAGGGGACGGGGCGGAGCCAGGGGGAGCCTCGGAGGTCAAGGCCAAGAAGGAACCACACAAATAGCAGAGGGGGCTCAGGAAAGGACACAGGAAAAGGCTCACAGCACCCCAGACCCTATGAGACCGCAGCAGAGGGGCCACCAGGCTGCTGGTCAAAACTGTCAATTACGGCAAACGAGTCCCACATTATGAAAAATAGATTCAATCAGTCGTTTACCATATAAACAAAAACGTCCAAACATAACCTAAAAAGCAAAGAATTTCTGTGTAAATAAGCATGCACTGAGGGTATTACAGTCAATGTTTCCTCAACGTGTTTCACTTGCTACAGGGAAGAAAAATCATTTTACACTGAGATTCAGTATATTCATTTGTGTAAGGACAGAAACACAAAAATAATAGTTCTGGGTAAAATGCCCATACTATTAGTAAAAACAGAATCAAGTTCACATCGAATATGATTTTTATGAACATTGACTAGAACATACATGTAAGATGTCAAAATAACTCATACTGAAATAAATTTTAAAATAAACAAAACATATTCTTGTCAAAACCTATTCATTTAATGACCAACTAATGGATTTCATGTAGTTTAAGAAGTCTGGGAGCCAGGTGGAGGGGGACAATGGGGAAAATGGAAGGAAAGGAAAAACAGGTTGTCTGTTTTAACAGAAAGCCTGGGAAAGGGTCTTCAGTGCACAAAGAGGAGCCCAGTGGGGGGGCGTTCTGAGAGCTCAGCATGCTTCCTTCGTCCCGTGACCTCGGTCTCTAACGGGGGTGCACTTAGGGAATCATTTAACCCACCAGGAGTAGAGAAAACCTATGCCTACAATTCCCACAAAGCAAAAAAGACAAAGAATCAAGATAGTCACGGTTGTGGGTTGTCTTATCGAAGACTGGTTCAGCCCTGGCCGGTTTGGCTCAGTGGTTGGAGCGTCGGCCCGCGGACCGGAGAGTCCGGGTTTGGGCATGTACCTCCCGCTAAGGGCACGTACCTCCATTATGCTTTGTCGGTGGCCTGGTTGGGGTCGTGTGGGTGGCAGCCAGTCGATGTGTCTCTCTCCCATCGATGTTTCTCTATTTCTTCCTCCCTCCCTCCCTCCCGCTCTGTCTGAAGATAAATGCAAAAATGTCCTCGGGAGAGGATAAAAAAAGATAGGTTTAACCTATTTTAAAAATGAAGTTAAAGAAGTAAATCTCTGTGCACGAAAGCGGATTCAGTGTCGGATTCTCCGAGCAGAGGCTGAAGCTGCGTGAACAATACCAGGGTCACACAGGCAGCCTTCCTGAGCACCCACGGGGCTGGGCCGCCCTGGGGACAGGTGCTACAGGTGACTGTCCTGACAGAGACCGGGGAGGGAAGAAGGCAGGCCGGAAAAGAGAACGGGAGGGCGGAACCACACTTTAAAAAAGGACACACTTTGGTCATGCTTATAACACCTTCCTCGGTCCACGTTTCCCGGCAGAAGGTTCTCTACGCCCTATCCTTTTACCGAAATAAACATCAGTAACGACTTTTCTCTTAAAACGACCATAATAGTGTCATCGCCCGTTATACATGACAGGACGCGAACCACGGTAGGGATGTTTTCTGCACCGACCCTTCAAACACCTGCGCCGTCTGATCAGGGTTCAGGATCAGACAGCTGTGGTAACGCCGGAGGACGGCCACAATGCAGACACAGAGGCCCGTGGTGTAGCTCCCGGCCAGGCTGGAGGACTTCAGCAGCAGCTCGGCCTCCACGACACTCAGTTCGTTTAGTAGCTACAACGAGAGGGAAGAGGAATGAAAATGTAGCTGCCACAGCAAACAGAAAGACATTGTTTCACCCCGTGCCTACGAGTCCTAGCAATACCTGATCTCACCCTTACCCTGCCCGAGGACCACCTGTGCACACAGCTGGTCTCAGAAGACATACCCTAGTGAATCTCAATGGCTTTAATTTTTTTTTTTATCCTCACCCGAGAATATTTTTCCATTTTTTGTACAGATAGAGTGGGAGGGAGAGAGAGGAAGGGAGAGAGAGTGAGAAACATCGACGTGAAAGGGACACATCGAGTGGCTGCCACCCACACAATCCAACCAGGGCTGGGGACTAACTGCAACCGAGGTACGTGCCCTTAGCAGGAACCGAACCCGGGTCTCTCTGGACCACAGGCCGACGCTCTAACCGCTGAGCCAAACTGGCCAGGGCTCAATGGCTTTAATTTTTAATCCTTTACCAGATGATGGTGTTTTTCTTTTATCTAGACATCACGGTGCATGCAATAAAAAAGGACCCAATACTAAAATAGTTACCAAACTTTATGGCAGCCCGACATTCTGGACTGAATAATATCAGAGAACACTCCACCTATTTTTTTCTCCTCTTTTCCCTTCTTTTTAATTAAAAAAAAAATACATATATATATATACACCATGATTTTCTTTTTGTTAGTGAAGCTAAAACCAACAAACTAAGCAACAGAAACCAACTTCCAGTTCTGTTGACTAACAACGTAAGATAATAAATACACTCCAGTATATGGATAAGACATACAGCAGGGCAAAGAAAATGATAAGCTTTTACTTTTCACTCTTCACGTAAAATATACTCTATTATAAATAGCAAATAAACTTTCACCTTGCCCAAACCACGTAATAAAAGACCAAAATAAGTAAATAAATAAATACCTTCAAAACAACTCACAATTTAAGGGACTACTAGATAGTTTAGCACAGTATTCTAACTAACTAGAAACTGGAAACATAGTTGCAATTCAAGTGCTTGCTGGATACTGTTGACTTGGAAGGTCCCAATCACTGAACAAACGCTCTGGGGTCTCCTTCAAAAGGGTGCAATGCCTGGCGGGCTCGCCCCCCGAAACGCGGGCGAAGCGGGGTCTCTCGGGCACCTGTGTCGCGAAGTCGATCAGCCCGTTGATGTTCAGCGCGGGCTCCATGAGGTCGAAGATGAGCTGCACGTGGTGGGCCAGCGGGAGGTGGTACGAGGTCCCGGACGCGAAGCTGGTGATCTGCTCCAGCACATTGCTAGAGATCTGGGCGGACAAAGTGGACACTACAGGGCTGCCATCCAAGGAATTCGTACTCATTAAATTATTTTAACTTTGTACTAAGAAACCTGAATGTAGGTGGGAGTCTCCTGGGAAGACAGTAACAACCTATTTCTACGGAAACCAACACCACGTACAAATTGACTTCCTTACTACGACCAGAATGGGGAGAAATGAGGCAGGTTGTCCTCTAGAGCTCACCCTAACTGACCTTCAGGCAGAACCCCTAGAGGCATTAATTCATTTCCAGATAACAGCTATTTGAATATCAATGAATTTGTAAAATAAAACAGATCAGGTTTCTTCTCAATCGTATAGTATTTTATTAGTCATCAACAGATTTCTCCCTTCTTGATAGAAACCGCAATGCAATAACATACGTATTGCACTGGGGATATTTTCTGTAATGTCGATTGCTATCTCAAGGTAAGAATATTTTCAGAATAAAAATTAATTCTTCTGAGGAAGACAACCTAACACTTGCATCTGAACTACTCAATAGTTGGAGTTGCCTCCAAGTATGTTTTAAACACATATTTATAAAACCAAGGAAGGCCGGAAACCTATCATTCTAAGAGATTTTTAAGGCAATATGAGTATCTCAAATGCATAATGAAGAGCTGTAAAGGGCTACCTGAGATGTTACTTGATGTTGATCAAAGTAGGAAAGGAGCTGAAGTTTGGTGAACACGGTCTCCAGGGTTGGAAACGCTTCCTGTCTGTTCTTCCTGGCTTTGTGTCCTTCATCTCCTACGAAGAAACAGACAGCAACACATTGTTTTCCATTCAACAGCAGCTCTTGACTTGTCAATGAAACTACTGTATTGAAATATAATGTACACTCAAAACAGTGCACACAATCTGTGAGTTTCTACAAAATAAAGACACTCCTGTAATGAAACGCAAATCATAAAATCACATATCAGAACCCCAGAAACTTCATCAGCCCCCCCCCCCAGCTGCTTCTCCCTCCCCAGAGGACAAGGTCCCTCCTTCTAACAGCTTAGACTGACTTTGCCCACCTCGGAACTCTACGTAAATAGAACCACACAATGTACACATCTAATGCCTGGCATCTTTCACCCAACACTGTGTGTCTGAGATTCATCCATATTGTTGTTGCAATTGTCATTTGTCCTAAAAACGAATACGTCCCGCTTGTGTACAGTACTCCAACGTTGACTGCACCACCATGTATTGATCCGGGACAGGGAGTTGTTTAGAGGTTTGCTGCTATGAGAAGCACGTCCATGAGCATTTCTAACTAAGTGACCTCAGAAACAGAATGACCTCAGTGACAAAGGGGGAAAGACCCAGGCTCCCTTCGATTCAGTAGGAAGTTTACTGGCATCTTAGGAAACTTACTGTGACATTTTCCCCAAACAGCTTACTATGTAAAAAAGAAAATTTACACGACTCCTAACTTGTTTTGGGGTGAAAAAGAATAAAATTCCTCCACATCAAGGGGGGGGGGGCAAGGGCAACACCTACTTCAGCGTTCAGAAGTGTGAAAAACATTATAACAAAATGTTTTATAAATACTGCTATCCCAGAGACACTCATATTCGCCTTAAGAGTTTAAAAGATAAGATCCAAAATTAATTAGATCCAGTTTTTAAGTAGTTCCTAATGTATTTACAAAGACAAATCTAAAACCAAAAAGGAACGTGTCGATTACTGGACGTCTGAGGTCATTCCCGACACAGGACTCTGACAGCCGAGGGCTATGGAGATGGCGCTGCCCCACCCCCACCCTGGCAGTCACCACACTGTTGTGTCTAAAATGTTGTTTCCCCCCCTTTTGGTCCCCTCCCTCACATCTTCTCTGGTCCGAGGGCCAATGCGCTAAACACTGACCCAAACCGGCCACGGCTAATCCCTCACGTCTTATTTGGAAAAGTTTAAATCGGAGAACAAGGGTCACTGCACACCTCCATTAAGGACACAACAAAGATTTCACTGAACCCCGAAGGATTTTGTCAAGGACAAATATCTTAAGTAGCATTAGAAGAAAGGATACTTCTCGTCCAATCACAAGCAAATCTAGTTTAAGCCCTTCCCAACCCTCCCCAGGAAAACCCAGCTTTGGGCCTCACTTCCCAGAACAAAGAGAGAAACAAACCAACCAACCCTGACACCAGAGAGAAGGGCAATTACAAGGTGCTGAGTAATGTAAGGAATAACACTGTGCCACTCTGACCAAGTAACACCAAGAATGAGAACTAATAATTCACTAAACCTGCTTGTTTTATGACTATATGTTCTCACCATTACAAATTACGTGTGGAATGTCACCTTCAACAGAGATGCTCACATGTCAGGAGCGTGTTTAAGATATCCAAGTTTTGAGTTTTTCATTTACTAACATTGCTGACCCAAGGCTGATTGTGGACATCAACAGTCTTGGGTACGATGCGCTTTTAAAAAAAAAATAAAAATTTTTTTTACTGAATTTTAGAGAGAGAGAAACATCAATCGGCCGCCTCCTGCATGCCCCCACTGGGGATCGAGCCTGAAACCTGGGCATGTGCCCTGACCGGGAATCGAACTGGTGACCTTTTAGCGCATAGGACAATGCTCAGTCCACTGAGCCACACCAGCCAGGGGCCAACATGCTTTAAATAGGAAGTTAACATACTTATTTAGTCTTTCCTGGGACAAAAGCAAAGACATAAACAAAAATAACAGAGGTGAGAAAGGAGACCCATCATATAAAAGATGCATCTTTTTAATTTATTGGTGCTAAAGCTAACTTCTTAAGTCTCATATAAAAAAGATGCAACTGATTCTATTTTTTTTTTTTTTTTATCCTCACCCGAGGACATTTTTCCATTTTTTGTACAGACAGAGTGGGAGGGAGAGAGAGGAAGAGAGAGAAAGGGAAACATCGATGTGAAAGGGACACATCGAGTGGCTGCCACCCGCACGACCAACCAGGGCCGGGGACAAACTGCAACCGAGGTACATGCCCTTAGCGGGAACCAAACCCGGGTCTCTCCGGACCGCAGGCGGACGCTCTAACCGCTGAGCCAAACTGGCCAGGGCTGCAACTGATTCTTGACGTTACATTTACTTTTATATATATATATTAGGGGTGGTTCTCAGTGGAATACTTGACTTTAATGATATTCACATGAATAACAGTCATAATTCGCAGACTTTTCTCATCTGTCTTATGTTAATTTGCTTTCATAACAGACACTATTGTTCTTTCATTCCTTAACTTTGGCTGTCCTTTTCCAAAATCCTTCCACCCTACACATTCTGGCCGTCTCGCCTGGTAAACTTCACTAATATTTTCAAAAGGAGCAGCACTAAAACCAGAGAGGACTAGTCAATGTAAACGTACAAGGAGGTCTGACCACCGTCACCTGGAAATGTCATACACGTTTTAGGTTAGAGAGACCCGAGGTAAGGCCAGGTCGATGTGAGAACTCCCCCGAGGAGTCCCTAAAAATCGTATTCTTCGTGTAGCCGGAAGTCAAATACACGCCGCCAGGAGCTGGGTGTTCCCGCCTTACCGACCCTCACCGTTGCTGACTGAAGGGGCCACCTCCTCTCACTCTGAAGGATGTCAGCTCATTTCTGGTGGGCACGCTAGGGTTTAAGCAGTGACTTAAAGGTAGACTATCAGGAGATAGGTCACTACAGCCCCCAGTTAAAATATTTCTGGTGGAGCCCTGGCCGGTTTGGCTGGGTTCGGTTCCCGCTAAGGGCACGTACCTCGGTTGCAGTTTTTTTGTTGTTGTTGTTGTTTTTTATCCTCACAGGACATTTTTCCATTTTTTTGTTCAGATAGAGTGGGAGGGAGAGAGAGGAAGAGAGAGAGAGAGAGAAACATCGACGTGAAAGGGACACATTGAGTGGCTGCCACCCGCACAACCCAACCAGGGCCGGGGACAAACTGCAACCGAGGTACGTGCCCTTAGCGGGAACCGAACCCGGGTCTCTCCGGACCGCAGGACGACGCTCTAACCGCTGAGCCAAACCGGCCAGGGCTCAGTTGCAGTTTGTCCCTGGCCCCGGTTGGGGTCGTGTGGCGACCAGTCAGTGTGTCTCTCTCACATCAATGTCCCCCCCCCCCCGCCTTCCCGCTCTATCTGAAGATAAATGCAAAAATGTCCTGGGGGGGATTAAAAACAATAAATAAGTAAAATATTTCTGGTGGAGGAATCTTATCTACAGGGAGGGAAAGACAAAAATGCCCTTTGAAGATCCCCTTCACAGAGCTGTGCATGACCGAAACCTGGACAGCAGCACGGAGGACAAGGCTGGTGTCTGGGAGCTGGGAGCATGATGCCCGTTTCGGAGACCGACACAAAGATAGCACAGACTCGAGTCTGCATCAGAAAAGCCCTCAGGAGGAAGGAAGCAGACTCAACAGAAAGTCACCACATCGCTTCCTTCCCCTTCCCACCTCTCAGTCTTCCAGAAACCAAAACTTCCATCGGATCTGGAAAGACTCTCTAAAATGAATTTAGACTTTTTCTTTTAAAAAAAAAAGTGTGACTGAACCTTGTACATGGGATAGTCTGCCCGTGCTCAAGTACACAAAAGCAGTTGCAGCAGTCTCTCTCTGCTCACGACGTGCAGGGTTTCTAAACTCAGCCTGCCAAACACAACCATTTCCTCCTTCCTCCCCGAGAGAGAGCAGAGCAAAGGGCAGATCCAGCTCAGGGCCGTTCTGTTCTGTTCGAGCTCAGTAAGGACAGGCCCCCAGCAAAGGGGTTCGTCTCCCTTCCACACCCGCAGTTGACCCCTCGGGGAGCCGGTGCAGTGTGAGGCCTTCCCTGGACACGGGAGGGAGTCAGGGGCGGTGATGTCCATCACAGGAATGTGCCTGCCCTTGTGTATTCTAGGGACTGACGTGCCACTCACACGAACCCCACGTTCAGAGTGAAGCGAGGGCCTGTGTCCCCCTGTGGACGGAGAGGAGAGAGCTATTAGCAGGGGTTATCAGTGCCCTTCTGTGGGATAGCTCCACAGAGCGTGGCCGGCTCTATAAATCCTCTGCTTCAAGTCCTAAGGGTCCTCCGTGGAGAGGTTCATGCAGGTTACTTATCTGGTACTGAGCATCAGAGGAGTGTTTCTAGAGGCGGTTAATACACGTGCCGGAAGCACGCTGTTTGCATGCGAAGATGGAAACGTTTTCCCCGTTGGATTATCTAAGTAACAGAGACATGACCGCTGGCGGCAGAGCAGTGTGCATAATGATCTCATATTTTAAATCACGTGACTGCCTAATAAACCAAGCATACCTTGAAAAGAGTAACTAGGCCAACGTGCCGTGGATAATTACAGGATTTCCACTTTGCAATGTGGTGACATAATACTGAGGCACCCCCCCCCATGAAAACGAGGTGGAAGGTGGGGGAGAGGACACCACGTGGCGGGGGCATCATGGAGCCAAGACCTGCCTTCCCTTTGCACTTGAATCGCTTGGTGATACGGGTGTCACCATCACCTACTGCGATTACTCTTCTGGACCACGGAAGGGAAAAAAAAAAAAGATCAGCAACTGCACTGTCATGAGTTCCGATCATCTCGTCAACAGCACATTGAAATGGTAAGGCCTGGCTCCATTTATAGTAAGCCTTGCATTAAAGTAGGGTGTGCTCTAGACAGAAGTAGGTCGTTCTTATTTGCCACCCTTTTGTATGCTTCCTGAATTTTCTGCAGTCGTCAGAAGTGAAATATTCAAGAGTGACTTGCTCTGATCCAGCTCAGAGCCGTTCTGTTCTGTCCGAGCTCAGTAAGGACAGAGCAACTCCTCTGATGCTCAGTACCAGATAAGTAGCCGGGGCAAACGACAGGCTCGAAAAAGGATGGTAGGGAATAAGGGACCCTCTTCCGGAATAAGGGGTTTCCAACTCACTCTTGAATATTTCACTTCTGACGACTGCAGAAAATTCAGGAAGCATACAAAAGGGTGGCAAATAAAACGACCTACTTCTGTCTAGAGCACACCCTACTTTAATGCAAGGCTTACTATCAATGGAGCCAGGCCTTACCATTTCAATGTGCTTATTCACGGTTCAATGTGACAGTCATTCAGGAGAGGAAACACCGGAGACAGTGCCCTGTGGGAACTCGATAAAGGGGCGATGGGGGAGGACATAAGACAGCACCCTGGGGCCCCGGCTCTTTACCCCCGGTCTCTGAGGTGCTCTTCTTATTCAGGATTTTCAGAATGTCTTTGGTAATCTTCTTCAGCTGGTGTCTCGCTTGGTCACGCTCCTTGCCCACTCCGTAGAGAAGGACGGTGCGCTGGTTACATTCATGACTGGAAGACTCATCCTGAAAGAGAAAACGCACGTTCAGAGCCCTGTCGGCGGGGGCGGGGCCGCAGGCGTGTCCGGGCCGGACGCTGACCACAGCACCTCCACGCTGGCTCGGGGCCCCCTGCCCACCGGCCCACGCGCCCAGCCTCCGCTGGCAAGACCCTGCTTTCTCCGGTTTGGCAGTTGCCAACATTTTTCAAAAGTGTCAACTGACCTGGAGTCTTAATGGGAGCACTTGAGGTGGGCAAACCCTTCGGAGTAAGTGTTGACGACTGACAAACTTTTCGTTGTGGGAAAGGTAGCGTGGTGGGAACTGCACGTCCTACTGACATTCCGGCGGGTCCTACTGTTCCCTTAAGGAAAATGTGCTTTCTTAGCAAGTCTGGGTTCCTCCCTAGAGGGTCAGGAGCTATTTCATGTTTAAAAGAAAAAAAAAAAAATCTTCCTAGGATCCTCAAGGACTTTTATAAAAATGTTCCATTTGCTTCCAACATGTCTGTGGAAGATATATGCATATTTATTTCCAAAGGGGGGAAAAACAGAGCACGCAGGTCTCATTCATGAGAGGTAAAGACCTGGACCAGCAAACGTTTCTTCCCGACTAACTTCCTCTTCTGCGCAGCTCGGGGCCAACACAGCCTCCGGGGCCTGGAGCACCTTCTCCCACGGGGGAGGGGGATTATGTGGCCACAGCAACACAGAGCCGGGGACATGCCGCTAAGCACACTCCTCAGCCAAAGCTAAGCGGTCCAGGGTGCGCTCCGCTTGCACCTGGATTTGGGGGTTTCTATCAGGATGTCGCCTGGGGTCTCACTCGCTTCCGTCTTCTCGGGGTGACCCCCACGCCCCCCACCCCGGTGTCTCAGCATCTCTGCATGCTGCCCCTGCCAGGTGCTGCTCCCTCCCCCAGCCCCACCCCACGGGGCTCGCAGGGGAAAAGAATCTGTCCCTTTCCTCTCGGTCTCTTTGTCGGTCTGTCTGTCTGTCACCCCTTGAACTCTGCTCACGCGTGTTCCTGTCCATCAGGATCGCGTTGTACGCCCTGCACCCCTCCCCCCGGGTTCTTCTGTTCACACTAACCTCCTTTAGTACGGGGCTTCTCTCCCAGAAGCTGTTGTTATTTAGTCTGTCCTGAGGATCCAAACCTCCCCCAAGTGTTCCAAAGACAGAGCTGACAGGAGGTGGTCTACGGGGTGCTTGTTCCCACACCGGGCTGCACACCTGGGTGACCCATGACCTCCCGTGCATGTCAGCGCCCTGCTCACGGGTTGGTCTGCGCTCGGGGGGGGGGTGCACAGGTGGAATGGGAACAGGGGGGCACCGAGAGAACCCCAAACCCAGGCAGTGCCAGTCCATGCCCTCGAAGGGTCTTCAGGGAAGGCACCTGGTGGCCAACGGCTCTACTGTGAACGTCTGTGGGAGGCCGGTGGAAGGGGTCAGCAAAGATGCTCGCAACTGCTTGCGGGGGCTCTGCGTGCGGGATCCGCGTGGGGGTGGGCTTTGCGTGTGGGGACTCTGCATGGGGATGTTCTGCGTGGGTGGGGGGCTGTGTGTGTGTGGGAATTTGCGTTTGGGGGCTCTACGTGGGGGGTGCTCTGCGTTTGGGGGACTCTGTGTAGGGGGGAGTTTGCGTGCGGGGGGGAGGGAGCTCTGTGTGGGGGTAATTTGCGTGCGGGGGCTCCATGTGCGGGGCTCCGTGTGCGGGGGCTCCGCGAGCCGGGCTCTGTGTGCAGCACACGGCGCTAGACGCCCTGAGGAAGACACCAGGATGCCAGGCCCCCGCCCTCCAAGACAGCAGAGTCAAGGGCATCGAAGTAGCATCTGCAGAGGCGCCTGGGAGCCTGGGAGCCTGCGCGAGGCTGGGGGCGGGGGGCGGGGGGCGCTGGCCTGGGAAGACCCAGGGCCCCTCACAAGCACAGAGCCCAGGGCGCTCCCCGGGGCAGAGTCCAGCTCCAGGGTCGGGTACGGAGCCTGCCTGCGCCTCTGGTTCTTCCCCTGGAAAGGGCGACACCACCTGCCCCGTAGGGTTGTGAGGGCTGAGACGGAGAAGGTGGGGTCCTGAGTAGACAGGACAGCCCCCTGCGTCCGCCGGTCCCCCCACGGCCAGGGCCTCCTCACACCGCTGTCCCTCAACCTGCCCAAGTCCTGCCCTGGCTGCTGCCCCCCCGACCCCCACGCACAGCCTCCGCGTCGCTGTGGAGAAGCTGGGAGCAGTCCCCGCAGGCCCCTGGCACGGCTGAGGGCAGGAGCAGAGAGGGGGACCCCTTCGGCGTGCAGCCCCGCATCACTCCGGACCTTCCAGGCTTGGGGGTGCCTGTCCTCCCCGCTTGGTGAGGGGGCTCCAGCCTGTGGCTCTCACATTTCTAGTCTTTTCTTTGTTTTAATCCTCACTCAGTGTTTGTTGATTTTTAGAGAAACAGGAAGGAGGGGACAGAGAAACATTGATGGGCTGCCTCCCATATGCCCCCCGAGGGTACGTGTGCGCCCCAACCAGGAATCGCACCCCACAGCCTCTTGGTGTGCGGGCCAGCACTCCAACCAGCCGAGCCAGCCCGGGGCAGTTATGTCCGTAGGCCCTGATTAGACTTAGCATTAGCTGAGTGCACACTGCAACGGACCAACAAGCCGGCTACTGAAGGAACACGACTAGAAGGTTGGGGTAGAATGAAGATAAAAAACTAGTTTTGTAAGAAACGTAACCTGGGGAGTGCTGACAAAACCCAAGAGGAGAAACGACCGGCCAAGAAAACGAACGAAACGGTCCGCAGGGCGTACACCAGGTCTTGGTGCTGGGAATGGAGACAAAGGGGCGAAATCCAGGGCTGTCCGGTGAGGTCAGGGAAGGGCCGCGCAGCCGAGCGGCCACCGATCCGGGACCTCGGGACCAGCTCCCCAGACAAGCAGTTGGGAGAAAGCAGAGCAGGAGATGCGGGCGGGAGCTCATGGATTTGCCTTCAGGTGGGAGGAAGCTGAGGTGCAGGGAGAAATGCTTTATCACTGTTCAGTGGGTGTTTGACCTGGACCCCGATACCAAGGTGATGGCTGAGGGGTAACGGCGATGTCTCACCGGGAGGGGTTCACAGCCCCCACATTCTCTGGGGGCGCACAGAGGGCTGAGACAGTGAGGAGGACAAGGGGCCCATCAGATGACGCAAACACCTCTCTAATGAATCAGCGGCGGAAAGCCAGGGTCGGCCCGGGAGGGACACTTAGCAGGGGAGTCGTCAGCGCTGTTGACGGCCCTGAAGAAGTCCCAGTGGATCTGGCCCCTCTGACTTGCTCATGGAAACACGTGTGGACCTCAGAGACGTTTCTCCCTGGTGACGGGCAGAGCGGGAGCAGGGGCTGAAGGGAGAGTCGGTGGGAACTGAGCAGCTGGGAAGGAAACACCCCGTTTCCTAGCACTGGGCAAGAGGGCAGCAGCCAGAGAGGAGGAGGTGCTGTGCTGGGGTGTGATCAACGGCGACCTCTTATTTCAAAGCCTTGTTCCAAACAGTCTTCACAAGGGAAACAAAGCTTGGCGGGCAGACCAGGGATAAAAGACATAGAAAACGCCCTGGCAGGTTTGGCTCAGCAGCTACAGCGTCGGCCCGCGGACCAATGAGTCTCAGGTTCAATCTCGACCAAGGGGCACGTACCTCCGGTTGTGGTTCATCCCCGGCCCTGGTCGGGTCGTGCGGGAGGCAGTCAGTTGATGTGTCTGTCTCATGTCAATGTTGCTCTCTCTCTTCCTCCCTCTCTCCCTCCCACTCTATCTGAAGATAAATAGAAAAATATCCTCAGGTGAAGATTAAAAAAGAGAGAGAGAGACAAATAACAGCAGTCTCTTGTCTGGTTTAACTTAAAGAAAGACAGGCTCGCCGTTCTACCTCACTACGGGGCAAAAAGAAAAGATGAACACCCAGGGCGGGTGAGGACAGGAGGAGGGGAGAAGCGTGGACCAGCTCACGCCCCCATGCGCTGGGGATCTGGGCGGAAGCACAGGCCCCAGCTGGGGGGGGGGGTGGAATTAAAAACGAGAGCCGTGACCACTTGCCTGGGAAAGAGCCTCCGGCCGGTCACCTCTGCACAGTGTGAAGACGGCATTCACTTCTGCAAGTCCATACTGTTAGGAAAGTCATAATAGCTGTTCCTAACCCTAACCCTAACCCACGGACGTCTAAAAGCGACTCTTTTCAACAGCCCGCGACAGCGATTTTCAACCAGGGCACCGAGAAAATGTCGACTGTGAGACCGGTTTGCGTCGATTTTCTGTGCGTGTAGGAAAACGTGCAATTCTGCACACAGCAATTTATACTACGCGCGAATCAAGCAACCCAGGAGAATAGACCGAACATGCCCGAAGGGATGCGTTCTACTCTTTCAACTGGGAATCAACATGCGTCCAAGCTGCATCGTTGTATGAAAACTAAGGAGTGGGGGTCAGTGCCAAAGACCTGCTCCGTATTCATTCCCCGAAGGACTGCTCGCAGCAGGAAAATGCTCGGGACGAGCGCAGAAGTCTGGCCGGCGCCTCAGCACCGTCTGCCCTGGAGAACGCGTCCCCGGCAAACGGAGTTGAGAATCGCCAGGCTGCACCTTTCTCTCTCCAGATAATACATCAGGAAGACTGAGCTGGCAGGGAGCTAGGGGGATGTCGGTTATGTTACGGAAATGAAACATCACCACAGTGGAATGCAATGAACAATCAAAAATTGGCCCTGGCTGGGAGGCAAGGTGGTTGGAGCATCATCCCTACACCAGAAGGTCTTAGGTTCAGCTTCCGGGCGGGGCACATGGCTGAGCTGTGGGTTTGCTCCCAGTTTGGGACACAGAAGGGAACGGGTGCTTCTTTCCACATAGATCTCTCTCTCTTCCCCTCTCTCTCTAAAATCAATAAAAATATACCCTCGGGCGAGGATATTTTCTTAAAAAGTCTCTCGACCCAAATACCCTTAGGAAGGAGAACTGAAGCGAACTGAACTGGAGTCCGCTCCGAGTCGTCTGCATTTCTCTAAGATCCGGCGGCGAGATCGGCTGTGTACGCGCCTTGGTCCTACTTTCTGATGATTTCTACACGTGACCCGATAATGGTAGAATTTTAAAACTAACAGGTTAATGCTCTTTTTAAAGGGAAATAAGAATCCCGCTCTTGAGTGCTTTCTTTTCCTGCATACACATCGATGAGTCCTGATACGATACAGCGGAGCCTTTCAAACTCCCCCGCACCCTTGAGTTTGTACGTTTACATAGTCAAACGTGGACCAGTGCACAGCAGCTCCAAACGAGTAGTAAGAGCCACTTTTAAAAAAACAAATTTACATAAACTTTTTGTTTTAGTTCATTTATTAAAATAAGTAACTCTTTAAAAATTTTTTTCTTTTAGAGATTTTAGAGAGAGAGGAAGGGAGAGGGAGATATAGAAACATCGATGAGAGAGAACATCGACTGGCCGCCTCCTGCACGCCCCCCACTGGGGATCAGCCCACAACCTGGGCACGTGTCCTGAATGGGAATCAAACCGGCGACCTTTTGGTGCAGGGTCGATGCTCAACCATGGAGCCACACCGGCCGGGCAAAATAAATAACTCTTAAAAGAGGCTTTCAAACACTATTCCTGTGGTTGGATTCTTCAATATACCACATTATTCTGTTTAGAATAAAATAACTTCAAATAAATGCTGCCTCAGTGGAGCCTTGGGCGGGGTGGGAGGGTGGGCGTTTCCAACAGGGTAGGTGTGTCTGACAGGTGGTGGGGAGTGGGCGTGTCCGACAGGAAGGGAGTGTGTCCGACGGGGGGAGGGGTTTACAAGAAACTAGCTGCTGCCTCTCATCACTAACCCCCTGAACGGAGCACGCTTTTCTCTGAACCAGGAAGCTAGGCCACCCCTTTAACGTGATTTCAATAGGAAGCCCTTGTCCGACCACAGCTGCTCGTCCACAACGTGGCTGAGAGGAGGCCTCTCCACCAGGCCCAGCGCAGCCTGGGAGCATCCGTGAGGTCCAGGAGTTCGACCGGACGCACTCGCCTCTGCCTTCCAGCCTGGCGCTCCAGACCGGGCTGCCAAACCAGTCAGCAGAGTTAGCCTTCTCGCTTTCAAAACCCCAGCGCCCAAGACTGTAGCACTCTGTCTCGTATTTAACCTACATTTCTAGACTCTGACCGGAAAAACCAAGATAGATGACATACGTAAGCAGTTCCTTAACTGCACGTGTTTGATCCAAACGTCCACCACTGTCCAAAGGAGCCCACCTGCCAACCATGTGAGACAGCCTGGACCAGCCGGAGAGCCAGTCAGGTGGTCTGATTACTCTGGGTCCCCCACCCTGGTGGCGGAGGGAGCACAGACCCCCACCGCGGGGGTGGTCCTCCTGTAATCTCCTTTGAGTCCATATGTGCAGATAAGCAGACAACCTTCAGCGGACGCGGCTAAAGTAACAACCCAATTCAGTCACTTGCTTGCAGAGATTCCGGGGGACACGTTTATTCTTCTAAGTCATGTCAGTCGCTGACTATAACCAAATCGATCCGAGCTAGTCTGTTCCCAACAGCGAACCGCATGTAAGGCGGCTGTTGATTCACGAGAGGTTCAAGGGCACTGCTCAACTTCCATCCGTAGGATAATACACTTCTGCAGTCTGAGACCGCTCTCCCAAAGGGTTGGTCACGTCCTCGGCCCACCCTCCGGTGAGGACACATCATCAGAGAAGGCGCACAGACAGGTGTGGCTGTGAGTTACAACCAGAGGAAAGGAAAAGTTAATTTAGATCAAGAGCGAGGTCTTTCCGTTACGCTTCGTATCCCTACCCACAGTCCTCCAGGAGTTTGGAAACATAGACTCTGGGTAAAGTATATGCTTCAAGTATCCTCAATCAGTATTCCTGTAACACGACACGTTACTTTGTTGAAAACAGTGGTGATTTTTTTCCCCACAAGTCCTGTTTCATGTCCAGACCGTACGAGCAATTCATAAACACCCTCTGGCGTTGACGGTGGCGGCAAAGGCAAGTAGGGGCCCTGTTTCCCCCAAAGCAGCACAGCCACCCCGTGGGTGACATCAGCTCTCGCTCCTGGACGCAGTGTGGGCAGAGGAGGGGCCGGGGAGACAGGAGACGCAGTGCCAACCGCGTGCCAGTCACCAACACCGGCCCGGGGACCGAGCAGCATCAGTTCCCTGCTCTGCCTCCCTCGTCCAGAAACGGAAGCACCATCAAAGCTACTTCAAGAGCGGCGAGAGCAGCCAATGGCTCGTTCACGACACGAGGAACCCGGCACTGGCTGCTACCATCCTGGCGTGCACACCAGGGCCTGTCCAGGGTCATGCTGTGTCCCCGAATCAACCAAGAAGGCTTGTGTATTGTCACCGTCGAATTTTAAAATGAAAGTAACGTAATATCTACTTTTCCAAGAGTTGACTATCAAAGTGACACCTCCGGCTGAGGGACAGATCGGGATCATTAAGTAACTAAAATTTCTGAAGGAAATGACTCAACTCCATGGCTTGATTTCGGATTCTTAAAGCCGGCAAGACTCTCCCGTCGGTGTGAATTGGTGGTCCTCAAACCTCCGTGAGCGTGAGTGCGACACGGAAGGCCCGTGGACATCCAGAGGAGGGGGCGCCCAGAGTGTCTGACTCCCTGAGGCTGGTGCCCAAGAACATGCCTTTCTAATGACCTCCCAGGGGAAGCCTGGCTGCCGTCCTGCACTTGGAGAACCGCTGTTGAAGAAGATGAACAAGTGCAGACCCAGACTCACACCAAACTCAGAAGAGAGAAACAACCAAAACGTCTTCATAGCAAAGGCATCTCCCAAATGGTCCCCTGGGAACAGAGGAGATTCCGGTTCGAAACACGTGTGTGTGTGTGTGTACATGCACGCCCACGACAATAATTACATCGAGGTTATGATGCGAGGGTCCCTGAATTTAACGATATGTTTCCTCCAAACCAAAAGCTGGGTTAAAAAAAAAAAAATTGGCTCTATGTAAATTCTGTTCAAGAAAAGCACAAAAAACACTTTATATAATAAGCCTGGCAATGGATACAACTGTTTTTCTTTCTAATGTAATTTTGGAATCTTATCATTTATAATGGGAGGAAACTGTTTCGCCTACAAAAAGTTGATTCAACACAGATTTAAAATAATGACATTATTAACCAAGAAAAAAAGACAAAGAGCAAGAGATGTAACATCCCTAACAAGCACAGATATCGAGTTAATGTAATTACTCGTTACAACGTAATGTATCACCTGATGCTGAGCACAGTACGTTTCCAGGTAAACAACCATCTAAGAAAGCAAGCTTGCAACCTTCTGCACAGCAAAGAAGTCATATAGCATCAACCATCGGGCAGGTGTCAGTAAAAAGCCACAAGATTGTAAACTGCTTTCTAAGAGATGACTTTCCACCCACCCTGCCCCACATCTCCCAAGGAAACAAAAGCAGAAGTCGCAGAGGGGCCGGACGGAAAGCCAGTGTCGGCTTGGCTTGGAGTCCACAGCACTGGAAGGTGACTTCTGTGAGGTCCCCTCTTCCGCTGTCTCGCTCTGCTTCTCTCTAGAACCCTCGAGACTTTCCTGGTGAAAACTCTGCAAATTCTCCATCACAGAGAGTTTGAACAACGACGCTCAGACACTATAAAGGAAAATACCAGATACTACTCTGCAGGTCGAATTAATGACCACTTAACGGGACACATTCAAAGCCTCCAGACTCCACAGAGTAACCAGGTAACTTTGCGTCTAGAAGTACTTGATAAACGTGTGTATTTACACTCTGATGTGTGTGGAATTTTTTTCCAGTTTTCTTAAACTTGCAAGCCTTTAATAACAATATCAAGGCAAGCACTTATTTGGTAAAAATTGAAATATAACCCGCAATAATGGTGTTAGAAAGGGGTATTAACGTCACTTAAAAACTTTATAGAGCATGAAATAAAATACAAGTGGTCTTACTTATTTTACCGTGAGTGTGAAATGGGGCCTAAATATAGAGCCGGAATCCTCGATATCAAAAATATTTGTTACATAATTTATGGTCTGTGCAAAATGAGTATTCTCAAAGTAGAATTTCCGAAACTGGCAAAGACTATAGGACTTAAAGCACACAGCAGTTGTAAGGAAGGTTAATATCAATGACCTTGGATCAGCTAAATACTGTTTTGGGTTTGATGGTTTTAGGTTAAACAGGTAAGAGGTAAGGAGGTGTTGAAAACTGAAGCCATAACTGTGACAAAATGAATCTAAATTGTGTTACTTTCAGAAATTAAAGAACAGAGAAAAAATAATAATTCCATTGCTATCTGGGGTATTTGGTTCTCTCTTTATTTGTCATATTTAAATGTTTTACACGGAAGGTTGTTTTTAAAAAAATTTAGATATTTATACTTTAACCTTATCATATCATATATTTAGGAATAATATTCTATGAGGAATCAATTCCATTGTCTTTGATGAAACAAAAATATAAGGCATTTCACTGTCAGTTTCAGTTTAGATGCCAGATAATGTAGTCAAGTGAAGTGTTAGTTTTCTGTACGGCTGCCCGTTGGGGTAGAATAACCTGTGAACCAGACAGGAGCATGGTTTTGATATTTTATTGTCACCGTTATATTTGCAGCTACAGAATGAGTCCCTGTGAGGCTGATGTTTGATTGGGGGACAGCAATAGAGAGGCAGAAATATCCTTTGAGTATACAGGACATTTTCCCTCCCGATGAAGCATTTTACTTGTTTAATTCTAACAGGCCCGTATCAGTCACGTCTCCTTGGAACCTTCGACGGTACAGCCGGAGACACTGAAGTCCAAGAACCAGGACAGTGTGGGAAAGAGGACTAAGCAGACACAAAGGGTTTTAGAGGGATGGAAATGAAGCTGGAGCACACAGCAGAACCCTAGTTCTGTCTTCTAGTTTTTATATACAAACATGCGTGTGTTTCTGTCTAAGATCAAAAATGTTCTATGGGAGGGAAATAGTCAGCAAGTAAGGGATACAAAGTATCCGCACCTTCATGTAATTCAGACCGTCTTCCTTGGCTAGAGAGAGACTATTTGCCGAAAGAAAGTATTAAGAGATTCAGTGTGTTACGTTCTTACAAAGAGGATTAGAAACCGCAGTTTGTGATGCGAGCAACATCCACCACCTGGCACCAAAAATAACCCTCCCGTCCCTCCCCTCTAGGTAAGCAGGGAGGAACGCAGCCATGGACAACCTCACCTCCGCGGCTGGGAACGGCAGCCTGTGCGCCAGAGACTACAACATCACCCAGGTCCTCTTCCCCCTCCTCTACACGCTCCTGTTTTTCACGGGACTCATCGTCAACGGCCTGGCGATGAGGATTTTCTTCCAGATCCGCAGTAAATCCAACTTCATCATCTTCCTCAAGAACACGGTCATTTCCGACCTTCTCATGATTCTGACTTTCCCGTTCAAGATCCTCAGCGATGCCAGACTGGGAACGGGACCCCTGAGGACTTTCGTGTGCCAGGTGACCTCTGTCGTGTTTTATTTCACAATGTACATCAGCATTTCCTTCCTGGGGCTGATAACCATCGACCGCTACCAGAAGACCACCAGGCCGTTTAAGACATCCAGCCCCAACAATCTCCTGGGGGCTAAGATTCTCTCCATCGCCATCTGGGCCTTCATGTTCTTCCTCTCCTTGCCGAACATGATTCTTACCAACAAGAGGCCCGCGGACAAGAACGTGAAGAAATGCTCCTTCCTCAAGTCCGAGTTTGGCTTGGTCTGGCACGAGATAGTCAATTACATCTGCCAAGTCATTTTCTGGATTAATTTCTTAATTGTCATCGTATGCTACACACTCATCACGAAAGAACTATACCGGTCGTACGTGAGGGCCAGGGGTGTGGGCAAAGTCCCCAAGAAAAAGGTGAACGTCAAGGTGTTCATCATCATCGCTGTCTTCTTCATCTGTTTCGTGCCCTTCCACTTCGCCCGCATCCCCTACACCCTCAGCCAGACTCGGGACGTCTTCCACTGCTCTGCGGAGAACACGCTGTTCTACGTGAAGGAGGCCACGCTCTGGCTGACCTCCTTGAACGCCTGCTTGGACCCGTTTATCTACTTCTTCCTTTGCAAGTCCTTCAGAAACTCCCTGCTGGGCATGCTGAAGGGCCTCGGCGCAGCGACACCCGCGCCCCCAAACCGCAGGAGGCAAGGGCAGGGTGGTGAGGACCCAAGTGAAGAGACGCCCATGTGAACTGACCCCGGGGATGCTTCGACCTCCTGGTGAGGGGACTCCTCCCAGGAACACAGTATGCAGACGTATTCATGCTAAGAAGCAGATGAGTCCGCGGCAGGGACTCTGGAAACAACGGAAGACGACAAAAGTAACTTTCATTTACTTTTCCAGTGTCAGAAGCTATCTTAAAATGTGGAAAAGTAAGTCCACTTGTCGCTGTGGAGCCAAACAGGCTGTATCCAAGCCCCATGCGACATGCATGAACGGTCCAGTTTGGGCAGAATGGGTAACGATATATTAATACCTACTGTAATTCTTTAAGTACAGTATTGGTCACAATGCTATAATCAACTTACTGTATAATCAACTGAAGAATGATAAATGTGATAAGATTTTCTGACCCCAAATTGTACTTACTAAGATGTGTATATAATCCTAGTCCCCTAATCAAATGCTGACCTATTGTGATAATCATTATAAACATTTAAGGAAGTGGGACATGCAAAGAATAGTAACTACTAACTTGTCATTATTAGCAAAGAGTTAAGGGATTTATACTAATCAAAATGGTAAGAGATTGGACTGAATTTTTTTAAATGTTCATTAAGTTAGAGGACTAAAAACTACCTTTCCAATAAAAAGTAAAGAAATAGCAAATGAAGCTATTAAAATAAGGAGTTTTTATGCACACACAAACAAAAACCATAATACTTAACACTAGAGAAACCAGTTTTACTAATATTTTGACAACTTTAGTAAATACAATGCCATCATTAACCTATCTTTATTAACCAGCTATTAGCAACTGCATGCAACTTGGGTTAATAAACATTTCTCACAGTGAGAAGAACAAATTAAATATAATCAGGCATTTGCAGAGGATAACCATCAACAGGAAAGTGATTAAAATGTTTGCATTTACCTGTTTGTTATTGGTGTGTATAACAAAAATTTTACATTAAACGCTCAATCACACTGCGTGGGAAATTCCTTGTTCAGAGATGTTTGATACCATGACTCACCTATTCACCCCCTCCGAGGAACATGAAACCCACTTGAGAAAGGGCACCTTTACGACACAACATTGGGCAAATTTCCTGATGGTGACATCTCACGTCAATTAGTCCCCATGTAAATGAAAACCCATCAGACTTAGAATGTAGCCTGATTCCACACAAGCCATATTCATTAGTTTTATCTCTTCCTTTTTTTTTTTTAATCCTCCCGAGGACATTTTTGCAATTATCTTCAGATAGAGCAGGAAGAAGGGAGGGAGGAAGAGAGAGAGAAACATTGATGTAAGAGAGACACTTGGACATGAGAGAGACACATCGACTGGTTGCCACCCACACGACCCCAACAGGGGCTGGGGACAGACCACAACCGAGGTATGTGCCCTCAGTGGGAACCAAACCTGGGATTCTTTGGTCCTCGGACCTACACTCTAACCACTGAGCCAAACTGACCAGGACTTGTTAGTTTTAATATAAACAAAACATACAACACACTTGGCATTTGACATGATTTATCCTAATTCCTTAGGGTCCTCAGAGGTGATTCTCAAACGGAAGGCATACATCCCAATATCTCAATATAGTACGAGAAGACATCGAAACGGGGCGTTGTGGTCGAAGGGCCTTCACTGAAACTCAGTGACAGATTTTATCCAAACCTTCCACAAGCCAAGTTAAATCTCAGCACAAAATGAACTCATTTAAGGCTAACGGGCATCCTTCTCCGGCAGCCACACCGCCGGCCCGGGCAGCGCTGCCGGCCAGCACCGGGGGGCAGTGGAGAGGCACCCAGAGCCCTGTCCCAGCAGATGCCCCGGGGACAGTGTACACTATGCAGCTCCCTCCCATGCCATACACACGAGTGTGCACGTTCTGTAAGAATTCAGGGGCACTGGAGCCGGAGGAGAAACGAGGGCTCGCTCTCTGACCTGCACCCCTCACCCCACCCACCTTAGGGTGGAGAATGGATTAAGGCTGACCACGTGAGACTGCAGGGTGAGCGTAAGACTTCCCTGAATAATCTTTCATTTTGCCTTAAACTTACTCACTGAGATGACAACTTCTACAAGAAAAAGAAAAGAAAACCAGGAACACTAAAGGTAGGATGGTACCTTTGCAAAAAAAACAAAAAACCAAAAACCGTCAAGGGTTTGGAACTACCTACGTTTTTATATATAATATGAAAAGTTTCATTAAACTGTCAGTCACACTTTCTTTATTCAAAGACATTAGACAGTATATGTTCCCGCGTCAAACACCAAACTGAACCATGCAGAGCAGACTGAGAGGTCGGTATTTATGGGGTGCTCATTATATATGTCACTCTCTCCGACTGAGAAATTTTAATATACATAACGCATCCCACATTTCATAATAACTTTTTTAAACAGTGAAGCTCAACTTTGTGGACTGAGATCCAGAAGCTGAAAGTTCAGAAAGGAGATGAACAAGCAGGTCCCAAGGATGCTGCTGATGGGCAACCTCCCTCGCTGGTTCCGTACAGAAAGGGTCTAGAACAGGTGAGGCAAACCGCACCTGGAGGCCAAATCCCGCCCGGCTGCTACTTCTGTATGGCCCGTGACACGTCAGGTGTTTGTGGGGATAAACGTCAGAGAGCACACGCTCCTGCTGCATTGAAGTCCTGTGGACGTCTGTGTCCGCAATCAGGATGCATGAGCTACAGCCGCACCCACTCGGTTCTGCACTACGGCCCTTCCCGGCACCGCATGGAAAAGCCGTTGGTGGGAGATTACATGGTCACACGGCCTGAGCGCTTACTGACCGACCGGCTCTTGAGAAAAGCACACTGACAACTCCTGTCCTCATGCATCGGGGTGTTTCGGTGGCTTTGCTGCAAACGACTGCAGATTCCAGCGGCTGCTCTGGGGGGCCTGCGGGCTGGGAACACCCCACGCCCACTTACAGTAAGGCCAGTGGGAGCCACGCCCCGGAGATACGCTTACAAGTTACTCAGGAAAGAGAAACAGCCTGGCCTTTAAAATGGGAAAAGGGCTTGGAAGATCCATTCCCAGCAGAAATACAAATGGACAATAAAAATATAAAAAGAGCCCGGCCAGTGTGGCTCAGGGGTTGAGCGTCGACCCTGCACCAAGAGGTTGCGGGTTCGATTCCCGGTCAGGGCACAAGCCCAGGTTGTGGGCCCATCCCCAGTGGGGGGCATGCAGGAGGTGGCCAGTCCATGTTCTCTCTGCCATCCATGTTTCTGTCTCTCTCTCCCTCTCCTTCCTCTCTCTCTCTGAAGTCAATAAAGAAAAAAAAATTTTTTTAATATAAAAAGATGTATCACTAATAAACGAATAAATGTATACATAAATGACATGGCTTATTTGCAACTATAAGTTAAGAACTGATTGAAAAAAATTTTTTTTTATCCTCACCCGAGGACATTTTTCCATTTTTTTGTTCAGATAGAGTGGGAGGGAGGGAGGGAGGGAGAAACATCGACGTGAAAGGGACACATCGAGTGGCTGCCACCCGCACGACCAACCATGGCCGGGGACAAACTGCAACCGAGGTACGTGCCCTTAGCGGGAACCGAACCCAGGTCTCTCTGGACTGCAGGTCAATGCTCTAACCACTGAGCAAAACGACTAGGGCCTGATTTAAAAGATTTTTAAGCACAGTGTTGTAGACTTCCCCTCAGTGAGACAGAAAATCAGTACAATCTTTCCAGAGAGCTCCCGGAAAACACCACCCTACCGTGTCCAGCCAGCATTCCGCTTTGAGGACACTTCCTGGAAATATGTAGGAACAAACCCACAAAAATGTGTGGTCATGCATGTCCTCTACAGTCCTGGTTTTTAATATGAAAAAAAAATAGAAAAAAATGAATGTCCATCAGTAACAATGTAACTCAACTATGATCATTTCAGATAGCACAACATTTTTTAAAAATCAGGGAAGTATTATGTACTGACATGAAATGAAACAAAGATCCAATCTGTCCATCAGTGTAAATATATATATATTTCCAAACCATTGGCATGTGTATGTAAGAGGGATTAACTTTCAATCCCTACTATATGCATGTCTATATTTAAATTATTTAAACTTTCATAAAAATATGAAACACTATTTGGTCCAGCTGGTGTGGCTCAGTGGTTGAGCATCAACCCTGCACCAAGAGGTCGCTGGTTCGATTCCCGGTCAGGGCACATGCCCAGGTTGTGGGCCCGATCCCCAGTGGGGGGCGTGCAGGAGGCGGCCAGTCGATGTTCTCTCTCATCCATGTTTCTATCTCTCTCCCTATCCCTTCCTCTTTCTCCAAAATCAATAAAGAAAAAAAAGTTTTTAAAATATTTGTATAATGTTTTAGATAATCCATTGCCTATTTCCAGTTATATGTATAGACTTTATACCACTGAATTTAGCAATAGACACAGGTGACTATAGTTAATGTTAAATTGCATAATTTATTTTAGCTTATTACTACCGCTCTCGGTTCATCTCTCGTGGAATTTCTTTAACCATTTCATACCGTCTGAGAAAGCATCGTGGGTACTTCCATGGGGACTCGAAGGTCTTCTGAGGACAGGAATTCCCATGTCGACTTTCATTCCAAGTGAAAGCAAATACTTCCTCATCTTCCCAGTTCTTGTTTCCATGGTGCCGGTTACCATGTCAACGGGAGCTCAGACTGTTAGCCCTGATCGGGCGTTCACTCGCCTTTCACAGGCTTCTGACTGTCATTTTATTGCACCTTCTTGGACTCTCTTCTGAGCGCATTGCTTTGAACCAGCTTATGTTTTAAACTGACAGCTCAGGGGACGGCCAGACGGTCCCTGGGTCATTCACACCAACTCCGGAGCTGGCTGAACAACTCCTCGTTCACCTCATCTGTGGCTTCTCGCACCCGGGACAGGGACGCAGGTCCTGGGGATGGGCTGTGGGAGCTGACCGCGGGGTCCGCAGTGGGCCTGGGCTGCGTGACCGGGGCCACGCGCTGACGTCCCCGCGCCCCCCCCCCCAACGTCTCCTCAGTCCTCCGCCCGGGGGCCTGTCTCTGAGCGCTGTCAGGCAGCTCAGAGCACACAGAACGGCACAGCCTGTGGGATCTCACACGGGTCGACTACATTCCCTTTAAGGCCAACGGGATTTTTTCTTAATTTTTAATTTTTACTGATTTGAGGGAGAGGGAGAGAGAAACATGGATGAGAGAGAACATTGACTGGCCGCCTCCTGCACGCCCCCCACTGGGGATCAGGCCCACAACCTGGGCATGTGTCCTCACCGGGAATCGAACCGGTGACCACTTGGTGCACGGTTGATGCTCAACCACTGAGCCACACCAGCCGGATCCAATAGGATTTTAAATGTTCAGTTTATTTCCACTTGGCAGGCACCTAATTTCTGAGACCCTTACTTACATCTTCTCTGATTCTTCCCTCCTGCCTTTCGAGCGATTCCCTCTGTTCCCGAAGATACTCCACTTGCCTTTCATCTCGTCCGACGGGAACCACACTGGCCCTCCGTCCCCGGCATCGCCCTCCCCCCTCGGAGCCGGCCCACCCACTGTACCCCCTCACCGCACACGGAAGCAGACACCGCCCCTGACGCTCACGCCAAGAGGAGACAGTGGCTTCATAGACAGCATAGCTGGCGTGCCCACGGTCGCGGGGAAAGTGGCAATTAGAATACGGAACTGAAAACCCGGGCGCTCTGGCTCCCAAGGCCCTGCTCGCTGCTCCGCACGGCGGCCTCTCAGAGACCCCGCCAGGGGCCAGGACGCCCCGGGAGCCACAGCCCCCGATGACACACACTGAGCACGTGACCGTACAGAAGGGAGTGACCTGCCGAATACGCACTGCGCGCCAACGTTCTGAAACCTACCCCAGATTTACAAGAATGTGCTGCTGGGGTTCTGGAAATGGATTCTGAGTTCCTCTTCTGAGAGGTTCCCACACTCCGGCGTTTTGAAATTTGACCGAAATGTGATTTCCAGTTTTCACGTTATGAAATGACCTTGCACAGTGCTTCTCTCGTCTAAACTGAAACCGTTTCACCCTTCATCCAGACCATGGGCTTGGCACTGCGGGAAATGTACACTGTGTGACACAGGTCAGACCCGTCCACTTAAAAAACAAAACTAAGTCTGTCTTTGTCCTCTACGGAGGCAGGCACACGGCCATATGTTTACATGATGGTCCACCACACCCACAATCTGTAATGTCCAGGAATCAACTGGAGTCAAACACGTATTTTTCAAACTGTGTTCCCCTTGGGAAGGTCCCAGCAAAAGGATCAGGTATCCCGCGGCCTCACATTTAAACACGTCCAGTGGGTGATGGAATTTTATTCTCCGAATCCCAGGCCAAGCCATCGAAAAGCCTCCACCAGCCCAACCGCGCAGTCTGCTCCAGTTCTGCGGGAAAAGCTGAAGCCGAAAATGCGAAGTGAAACCCCCCGTGGAGAAGCCACATTCCCTCCTAAGCTGCCTAAACTTCCTCTTTCCCATTACCTATCTGGCGAGAAAACATTTCCGCCCCCGACCGTGCCCCTACAAAAGTAGCAATTACTCTCTTTCAAACCTGAAGAGAATTTAAAGAAGAGAAAAAAAAAGAAAAAGAAAAAAAAATCACAGACCTTGGCCCCAGACTGCTGGGGGAAGCGGCTGAAGTCTTTCGCACTGGGCACCGCACAGCAAACACAGACGAGGGGTCCGAAACGGTTGTCTGGCAACAGAGCATGTGCCTCCGCTCAGATCTGCAGTTCACGCGCCGCACAGTGAGGGGCTCGCACTCGTGATGCCCACTGGCGTGGACCCATTTCGCAGATGAGGACGGAGCTGCCCAGAGCCGGCAAATTATCCGTCTGGGAGCCGGTGCCTGGTAATTGCTGGAGGTGAGGTTCTGACTCCAAACATCTGGGTCTCTCCGCCCTTGACGCTCAGCAAGGATGTCATTGTCTCTCAGACAGGGAAAGACCAAAGACTCAGAGAAGTCAGTAGTTAGAGAAACACACAGGCCGTCGCAGGGAACACACATGTCCGGGGAAAACTGTCCACAAGGGACACAGGCGATGAGCCTATCTGATCTCGGGGTGACTGTCTCTCTCTCTCTGCCTCGCTGCTGTTGCAGGCGGCACCGAAGCATTTCCCCGAACAAGGAGAAGGTGAAGTTGCAGGACAGGGACTCGGGGGGAAATATGAAGATGACTGCGACTCGTGTACGCAATCACGGGAGACACGCAGGACGCAGGCTGAGGACCAGAGGGCTTTCCCACGACACCCCGAAGCCCGCGGCGCACTCTGGCGCATCACGCAGGGCGTGGAATGAGGAAGGAAGCGGGTTTAAGACAGCAGCCGGGCTGGCTCCGCTCGCTGTTCGTGGGCTGAGCGGACGCTCTCTCTGTGGGCAGACACGAGCGAGCCTCCTCCCGGACCAGGGGACTCCAGGCTTCACTGTCAGTGAGCTCCGTGGGGAAGACAGGCTCCCTTGGGGGGCCACGCTTCAGGTGAGCCCCTGCCAGCCACCCGGAGCAGCTCAGGAAGTGCAGGGCGGACGCGCCCGGCAGGAACCGTCCCCTCTCAGCGGACTTTCCTTTGCTCCCACTGTGGGAGCGGTGCCTGTGATTGCGGGGGGCCTGTTTTTCGGGGTTCACAGTGGTGCGGAAGCGATGGTGCCGTCACAGGCAGCGAAGGTGCACCACGCGCTCTAAAGGTCCCAGCCGGGAACCAGGTGCCTTCTCTGTTGACCGTGACGCTGCTCGCTCAGAAGCTGGGACTGGGCAGCACCTAAGGTCTGCGTTTTCTGAAAGGAGCATTTTGAAACGGTAAAAAGCTTTGTGTTCCCTGTGTGTGTCTCTGTGCAGCTGGGAGTCATGAATGCCACGGGCATGAAGGGCCTCAACGGGTCGGAGCGGTGCCCCCGGGACACGCGGGTGGCGCAGCTGGTGTTCCCCGTCATCTACACCGTCGTCTTCCTCACCAGCCTGGCGCTCAACAGCCTGGCGCTGTGGGTGTTCGCGCGCATCCCCAGCTCCTCCACCTTCATCGTCTACCTCAAAAGCACGCTGGTGGCCGACCTGGTCATGACCCTCACGCTCCCGTTCAAAATCCTGTCCGACGCGCGGCTGGGGCCCTGGCAGCTCCGGGCCTTCGTGTGCCGCTACTCCGCCGTCATCTTCTACGAGACCATGTACGTGGGCATCACGCTGCTGGGCCTCATCGCCTTCGACAGGTTCCTCAAGATCGTCAGGCCGTTCGGCAAATTCGCCGTCCAGAGGCCGGCTTTCGCGAAGGGGGCCTCGGCCCTCGTCTGGGTCTTGTTGTTCCTTGTCTCCCTGCCCAACATGGTCTTCAGCAACCAGAAGGCCACGCCGCGGTCGGTGAGGAAGTGTGCCTCGCTGAAGAGCCCCCTGGGGCTGAAGTGGCACCAAGGGGTGAACTACTTTTCCCAGTTCGTTTTCTGGACCGTGTTCACCCTCATGCTCCTGTTCTACGCGGTGATTGCCAAACGGGTCTTCGATTCCTACAGAAGGTCGCGGAGCAAGGACAGCAGGAACAACAAGAGGCTGGAAGGTAAAGTGTTCGTGGTCATAGCCGTCTTCTTCGTCTGCTTCGCCCCCTTCCACTTCGCCCGGGTCCCCTACACGCACAGTCAGACCAACACCAAGACCGACTGTCAGCTGCAGCACCGGCTGTTCATGGCTAAGGAGACCACGCTCTTCCTTGCGGCCACCAACATTTGCATGGACCCCCTGATATACATTTTCCTATGTAAGAAATTCACGAGAAGGCTGTTTCGTAGCAGAGGAAGGGAGACCTCATCCACCCAAGACAACCACACTAGCCAGACAGACAATATAACCCTAAGCTGATCATTTTACAGAGCTCACTTCTCTCTGTGGGCTAGCCTCCCAACGACAAATGTACGTGAACGTGACGTGGGGGCAATAAAAAAGGGTGACAACAAATGCTCCCTCACATTGGCGTCATCTCGAGGGACGAGGGACGGAGAGGGCTGCATACATTTCAACCCCACGCAGACCTATTCACAAGCAGACGGCAGAGCCAGGCAGGGAAATGCACAGAGAGCAAACGGCCGCTAGGGGTCATCTTCCCCAGAAAATTCACTTAGGCTCGGGAGGAGGTGTATTGCAGATACATGTGTACCCCTGAAATCCTCCCCTCCGAAAAACACCTTCCCGCCTTCTTGCACACACATTACTCAAACAACACAACCGATCTGTATCCCACAAGTGTTGATATTTGCTGATTTGAAAACAACAACAACAAAAACCCACCGTGACAGCCCCTGGGGGCAAGCTGAAATCTGGGGGTTGAGAGGGATGTTACGTAAGAAGCATCTCGAAGGCTGATGGTGGTCAAAGGTCCTCTGAAAACCCGGACGATGGAGACCCTCCTTACCATTATAAAGAGTCTCCTGTCATGCCCTGACCGGTTTGGCTCAGCGGTTAGAGCGTCTGCCTGCGGTCCGGAGAGACCCGGGTTCGGTTCCCGCTAAGGGCACGTACCTCGGTTGCAGTTTGTCCCCGGCCCTGGTTGGTCGTGCGGGTGGCGGCCACTCGATGTGTCCCTTTCCCATCGATGTTTCCCTCTCTCTCTGTTCCTCTCTCTCCCTCCCACTCTGTCTGTACAAAAAATGGAAAAATATCCTCGGATGAGGATTAAAAAAAAAAAGTCTCCTGTCACGACTCCAATACACCGTGGGAGGCACAAGTACTGTGACGAGGCCACATAAACCTGCCCCATTCCACTGTGCCCACAGGCAGGTGTGTACAGCCGAGGGCAAGCATGCTGTATTGGTCTTCTTTCGACTTCTCCCTCTGCCCGGCAAGTACTCTGATGGTGGGTGAATGTGCCACCCCCTCAGCAAAGCCTCTCTGAGCAATTATCGCTCTCCCCCTGCCCCCACGCTGCTTAGGAATCACCCCTTCTCCAGCTGCTTGGGTTTGTGCTCGGGCCTCTTGCAGATGTCCCTGTACCAGGTGACGGTATTCTTGACAGAACCCCCCAAAGACAGGCAGGCGTCTCTAAGAGAAACGGCACGATCTGAAGACAGAAACCAGGTTCTGTTTGTTGGTCAGCCCCACAGTCTTCCCCACAGACCTCGAATCACAGATGTTTCAAATAGACTCTGTCCCTGTTACGCTACTCTTGGTACGTGTACAGATGAACTCCTGACCCGCAGCCGGTAACACCCACACGGGGGTGTTCTCGGAGGCCGGGGCTCTCTGTGTACTTATGTGTTCAGTTCTCCTGAATACCTGAGGTTCAAAACAACTGCAAAAACGGTTACCTGGTACTGGGATGCCGACCTGCAACTTGTAGGGACAATGAACAAGGGAAGAGTCATGTGCTGTAAGTGTGCCCCCGGCTCCGGTGTGGTCACGGTGAGCGGGATCGTGGGCCTCTGGCTACGCCCTCCAGGGCGTCGAAGGACCTGGAACTGTCTCCCTTCCCGGCCGGCCTCATCGCCTGGCTGCTCCTGCGTCCCTGGAGCTTGGCAGTCTTCTCCAGACTTGTACCGGGAGGAACATGCCAGGCTCCCTTCTGCCCGGGCCCCTGCCCATGGACGCCGGCCTCTGCCTCACCGAGAAAACTCCTAGGCATCCGCAAAACCCTGCAGTGCCATCGCCCCGTCCAAGAAACCTCCCCCGGCCAGCCCAAGCCCAATCCCTCCCTCGCCCGTCATGCCTCGGAGTTGGCAGTCACCACGCTGCTGTGTCATGGCCTGTCCCCACACGCAACTCCTTTTCAAACAGCCCGTGTGCGCTTCTCAGGGCCGAGACCGCGTCTCGTTGTGCAATCAATAAACATTTAATAAATGCACCAAACTGGTTTTATTTTTACACACTGGGCAAGCAGCAGGCACGGCGGTTCTCGCGGATGCTTCTATCATCAAGCGATGACGAACATTCCTTGCGAGCTGAGGCTCTGGCCAGCTGCGCCCCCGTCGCTCGTCCCCGGGGCCTGGGGAGCGGGGGTTCCTGGGTTCTCCAGTGAGGGCTCCGGAGGGGGCGGGGCTGCTGCACACGGGGAGCTGGGGGCTGAGGTCTGTCCGCGTTTCAGTGTCAAAGCTGTTGACAAGACGCTTCAGCTCTGCTGTGGGTTTGGGTGGGTGGAATGTGAGACAGCAGCATGTCACCATGCCCCAAGCTCTCCTCTCCACCAGCCCTCTGGGTGGCTGACTTCCCTTCTCCCGAAATAAAGAACCACATCGCAGCAGCTGTTAGCACTGTTCCTGAGGACATTACATGAGCATGAGGAGACTCAGTACTGTAGGATACAAAACTGCACCCAGGTAATGTATACTTGTTTCTCCAAGATGTCCCAAAATAATTTTCTTTTTTTTTTTAACCTCACCCGAGGACATTTCCCATTTTTTGTTCAGGTAGAGTGGGAGGGAGAGAGAGGAAGAGACAGAAAGAGAGAAACATCGACGGAAAAGGGACACATCGAGTGGCTGCCACCTGCACGACCCAACCAGGGCCGGGACAAACTGCAACCAAGGTATGTGCCCTTAGCGGGAACCGAACCCGGGTCTCTCTGGACCGCAGGCCGATGCTCTAACCGCTGAGCCAAACTGGCCAGGGCTCAAAATAAATTTTCAATAGCAAACCTGTCCTCTATCAACACAAATAGTTAATTCTGATAAAAACATGATCATCAAAAGCAGAGTAAGTGGTGTGCAGACCAATCCAACAAGAGCTAAGAGAACAGGCATATCCGCGCTGTCCTGAAATCACACGAAAATGCAAAGCAACTATTTTTTTTTTTCAAATCTTTATTGTTGGATGTAAAATGTATTACAGATGTTCCACATTTTTCCCCCATTGACCTCCTCCTCCCCACTCCCGCCCCCCTCCCACCTTTTCCCACACTATTGTCCGTGTCCATTGGTTATGCATATAAGTTCTTTGGTTTATTTCTTCCCACCCCCCCCAACCCCTTTCCCTTTGAGGTTTGTCAGTCTAGCAATGAATTTGTGCTTCTTAATCCCTTCCCCTTTTTCACCCATTCCCCCAATTCCCCTCCCATCTGGCAACCAACAAAATGTTCTCTGTATCTATGAGAATGTTTCTGTTCTTCCTGTTCATTTTGTTTGTAGATTCCCTTGTTGATAGATATGTATTCATTGCCATTTTGTTTGTTCATACATTTTATCTTTTTCTTCAAAAAGACCCTTCATCATTTCATATACGGTTTGGTAGTGATGAACTCCTTTAACTTTTTCTTGTCTGGGAAAGTCTTTATATGTCCATCGATTCTAAATGACAGCTTTGCAGGATAGAGTAATTTTGGTTGTAGGTTCTTGGTTTTCATCACTCTGAATATTTCTTGCCACTCCCTTCTGGCCTGCAAAGTTTCTTTTGAGAAATCAGCTGACAGCCTTATCGGAACTCCCTTGTAGGTAACTAGCTGCCTTTCTCTTGCTGCTTTTAAGATTCTCTCTTTGTCTCAAAGCAACTATTTGAGAGCCATTCTCAAACGGGTGATCACAAATACTAAACTGTGAATACTTACAGAATGGGGTGCTATGCCATAGCCATCACTGACATACAGAAGACAATATTCTTTTTTTTTTTTTTTTTATCCTCACCCGAGGACATTTTTCCATTTTTTGTTCAGGTAGAGTGGGAGGGAGAGAGAGGAAGAGAGAGAGAGAGAAACATCGACGTGAAAGGGACACATCGAGTGGCTGCCACCCGCACGACCAACCAGGGCCGGGGACAAACTGCAACCGAGGTACGTGCCCTTAGCGGGAACCCAACCCGGGTCTCTCCGGACCGCAGGCCGACGCTCTAACCGCTGAGCCAAACCGGCCAGGGCCAGAAGAGAATATTCTTTAAAAGAAAAAAAGAGCTTTGAGATAGGAGGTGGGCTTAGAGTATCACGAAGGGCTTCTGAGAAAGCTACATGTAGCCATTCTGACCGGGAAAGGCCTGGCTACAAAATAATTCTGAGAAACCAAGAAGACCTCCTGTAAGGGGAGAAGACCAACCAGAAGGCAGTGAGAACTCCCGGCTCCCAGAAACCAGATGGCTGGCCGGACCTGACAGTTGTCATTCATCAGAATCCAAGACAGAACTGTTGGTTCTGATTAAACCCATCACTTCAGGTACTTCATACCCATTTCAAAGCAGTTCCTTCCATAACTTTCTGAAGTCTTCTTCCTAAAAATGCCTGCCCCTTACCGCCAGGTCAACCGACTGCCCTGGCAAGTTAAAAGATCAAAGTTTGGCCCTGGCCGGTTTGGCTCAGCGGTTGGAGCGTCAGCCTGCGGCACAGAGAGACCCGGGTTCGGTTCCCGCTGGGGGCATGTACCTCGGTTGCGGTTTGTCCCCGGCCCTGGTTGGTCGTGCAGGTGGCAACCACTCGATGTGTCCCTTCACATCGATGTTTCTCTCTCTCCCTCCTACTCTGTCTGAACAAAAAATGCAAAAATGTCCTCGGATGAGGATGGATTAAAAAAAAAAAAAAAAATCAAAGTTTGCCCGGCTGGTGTGGCTGAGTGGTTGAGCATTGACCCTGCACCAAGAGGTCACCAGTTTGATTCCCGGTCAGGGCACATGCCCAGGTTGTGGGCTGATCCCCAGTGGGGGGCGTGCAGGAGGCGGCCAGTCAATGTTCTCTCTCATCGATGTTTCTATCTCTCTCTCCCTCTCCCTTCCTCTCTTTCTAAAATCAATAAAGAAAAAAAATAGAAAATAGATCAAAGTTCACAAGAGTCTGAACAGCACCGACCCCCCAGAGAACCCACGCCCACCGGTCTGACAGCTCAGGGAGCGTCTTAGCGGACAGCAGCCCCGCTAGGAAAGTGGGGAACTCACAGAACACGGCTCAGGATTTTAGGCTCTGCGTGCAAACCAAACCCGGGCAACACGAACGGAGAACACCGGAACTCAGCCTGTGCTCCTCGGACTGCGATGGTACCAGAACCAGCCGGGGGGCCTTAGAGGACGTTGCCAGCCCCGCTCCCGCCCGCGTCTCTGACTCAGCAGGCCGAGGGAGGCCTGAGGACAAGCGTCCAGGGCGCCGATGCTATCGACCCGGACCACACGCTGAGCACCGCTGGACACAATGTCCCTGGAGGCTCAGACGGCCACACACACTGATTCCCAGCACCGCCGTCATGACCTTGGATGTCCAGCAGCGGTCGGTCAGCAGGAAACAAACGGCACTGCTGTGAGGAGCTGGGGCAGACCAGGTGGCGGCCATGGCGAGGACCAGGGGACCTAAACGTTCGTTTCCCACGAGGGGACGTCGATGACTCAGGGCCAACAGCTGGCGCGGGGGGCTGGAGCCCAGGTGGCTGACCAGAGGCGATAAGAGCAGTGAGCCCGCATGAGCGGCAGCAGACACATCATCTGCGACT